GGAGTGAAGGGTCGCTGGTTCAATTCCCAGTCAGGGCCTCTGTCTGGGTTGTGGGCCAGGTCCCCTGTTTTGGGAGTGCAGCAGGCAACCAATCAGTATTTTTCTCACACATCAGTTTCCCTCCCTCTCTTTCTCTCTCCCTTCCCCTCTCTGAAAATAAACAAACAAACATCTTTAAAAACGAATTGCACCTAAAGTGGTTCTGTTATGGTGACCATGGATGTAAATCTGTGGGATCACTAGGAAGACACCCTACACGGGTCTGGCAGATGAGCACCGCCCCGGTCTGGGTGACAGACAGCCTCGGCCTCCATTCAGAAGGGCTCTTCTCAGGCGCCTTGGACGGGAGGCTGATGGGCTCCCAGCAACTGCTGGGTGAGCCTCAGAGTGGCTGGGAAGGTGCAGGCGATGAGCTTGAGTGAAATTGTTTCATGATGTGAGTGGGAAAATGCAGCATTTCTAAACAGATCTGTTATATGTGACTTGACGTGTGTGAGTAACTTGGCTGCTAAAATCGGGTGTTTGACTATTTGGTGTATACTTCTCAAAGTTTATGAATTCGAGCCGTTACTTTTGGATCGTTGCGGTGGGAAACGGGAGGATCGCCCTCTATCAGGGCGTGCACATCGACAGCGTCCCTCTCCTTTGAGCCGCCAGAGGGCGCTGTCCCATCACCGACTGTGGCTGGCGGGCTGCCCACCTGCCTGCCGCCCAGCCCAGGTGTTGGAGGAGCGTGAGAGCGCAGCCTCCTGGGTCACTGAGTCTGGCGCCCCTTTCAGATTTTGGAGGCAACATCAATGTGGAGACCATCAGCACCTTTATAGATGGTGGAGGCAGTGTCCTGGTAGCTGCCAGCTCAGACATCGGTAAGTCTGAACCCAGAAGTTCCGGGGCTTTCTGCCACTCCTCCGGGAAGCGGCCACATTGGCACTCACTGGGTGTGCGGGGGGTGACTACAGAGCAGCCCTGTCCCTCCCATCCTGTCCCCAGCGCCAATGAGATGCGGGTCTTTTTATGGGCTGGGAACCCTGTTTTTTGTTTTTTTTACTCCTTTGTTTTGTTTTTATGTGTTTTGGTGGCTCTTTCCTTAAAAAGAGGAGACAAGCAGGGGGCGGCTAGTTGGTGGAGCCCAAAGCATTGGGCAGATTTTCATTTCATTTCCTGTTGGAAAATGTTCAGGATACTTAGAAGCGGGAAGAGAATGAGCCCTGTGTACTTGTCACCTAGCTTCAACCCCAAACTGTGCCTGGCTGATCTCACTTCATGTTTCTCTTCAGTACTGATAGCTTTATAAACCGCATTGGGTGGGGTCCTCGGTGAGGTGCTGAGGAAGAGAGGGACCACCCAGGTCGAGCCTGCCGAGATGGCGCTCTGCTTCGAAGGGCGTTGGTGCAGAACCCAGGTCCCTGGGCGTCTGCAGTGGGAGAAGGCCAGCGCCTCTTGTTCAGAAGTTCGGGTTGAGAGCTGACGTCCTTTACCGTGTGTTGTCCAGCAGCCCAGCTGGGGCTGAGCCCGGCCTGGCGACACTGCGGGCCCTGGGAGCGACCGGGGCAGGGAGCTGTGGAGGTGCCAGGACAGCTGATGTGGCTCAGCCAGGCATCTCTTGGGTCCATGTAGGTGACCCTCTCCGAGAGCTGGGCAGCGAGTGTGGCATCGAGTTTGATGAGGAGAAAACGGCTGTCATTGACCATCACAGCTACGACATCTCAGACCTCGGCCAGGTAACCAATCCTGTCGCTGTCCAGGTTTCAGTCCCTCCTAGCGAGCTCAGCCTGGAAGCCCCCAGGCCGTCGGGAGGGACCTTGGGACCGGGGGCACCTTTCCCTGACAGCCGCCACCCTTCCCTCTGCCCTTGCAGCACACGCTCATCGTGGCCGACACCGAGAACCTGCTCAAGGCCCCGACCATAGTCGGGAAGTCGTCTCTGAACCCCGTCCTCTTCCGGGGCGTTGGGTGAGTGAGCAGGGACAGGACGGCAGAGGCCTGGGGAGGAGGCGGCCGCCGTTTCTCAGGGACCCAGCCAGATGCGTGACTACTGGGGACATTCCTTCCTCCAGAGGATGTGGATGAGGTTAATCATGACAGGACGAGTTGGGCCTCGTCGTCACAGCGAGAGGAGAGCTGAGTGTTCAGCTGTGAAGAGAGTGGGGTTCCTTCCGGCAAAGAGATGGCCCTCGGGGGCCCAGGTCCTGTGGGCTCAGAGCTGCGTGGTTCTCGTTCCCTCCTACAGGATGGTGGCTGACCCCGACAACCCTTTGGTCCTGGACATCCTGACAGGCTCCTCCACCTCCTACTCCTTCTTCCCAGATAAGCCCATCACCCAGGTGAGGGGCCTTTGCAGCCTTGAGGCTCCAGCTCCTGGGCCCCGAGGCAAAGTGCCTTTGTATTTGGAGAGGGGAACTAAGCAGGATGCACACTTCGCTGAGGCTGATGAGATGGGAAGTGGAGTGGGTGTGGGCGGCAGGGGCTGTCTCAGGTTCCGGCCTCAGGTGGGGCCTAGGTTGTTCAGGTCTAGCCGGCTGCCCCCTTGTCCTAGAAGCCCGGGGCTTGTCCTTTGCCCCAGTTCTCTGGGATGACAGCCCCATGCTGTTCCCAGTACCCCCACGCAGTGGGGAAGAACACGCTCCTGATCGCTGGGCTCCAGGCCAGGAACAACGCCAGGGTCATCTTCAGCGGTTCCCTCGACTTCTTCAGCGATGCCTTCTTCAACTCAGCGGTGCAGAAGGCCACGCCCGGCTCCCAGAGGTGGGGGGGCCGGCGCACTTGGGGCCATGTGGCCGGGTGGTGGGGTCCATGCAGAGGGCAGGACTCAATGGGGAGGAAGGAGGCTTTTGGCTAAAAGTGTCAGAAGCTAAGATCTTCAGGTGCTTTAAAATTATTTGAGGACTTGATTTCGTGGCCACCAGGCTGGGGTTGGCACTCCAGACTTTTCTAGTGGCGGCTTCTCCGGAGACGTTTCAGAGCTTGTGCACTTACTGACTAGGTGGCACCCAAAGCGACACCACCTCACGTCCTTTCATGTTTTGTGTTCCCTCCGGGAAGAAGGCGGCTCGGGCGCTCCAGCCTCTCCTGTTCCTCGTCTGCAGGTATTCCCAGACGGGCAACTACGAGCTCGCTGTGGCCCTCTCCCGATGGGTGTTCAAAGAGGAAGGCGTCCTCCGTGTGGGGCCCGTGTCGCACCATCGGGTGGGCGAGACAGCCCCGCCCAACGCCTACACCGTCACTGACCTCGTGGTGAGAGCTTGTAGGGAGGGCCCTGGCCCGAGAGCATTCATGGAACACTTCTGTGTCGGGCCTGGGGCCTGAGTAAGGAGGAACACGTTCACCTCCGCCCTGGACGTCAGGCTGGGCGCGGAGAAACCCATGTCCTGGTGGAGACCTCGTGGGGAGGTGTGGTTCTGCTGGGGGGGTGTGGAAGTGGAGGGGCTTCGCTGACTCACTCTGTTGAGAGTGGGGGTCACAAAAGAAATAGCCTTGGAGTCAGGTTTGAGAATGAATCTGTCAGGCAAGAGACGTGGGCAAAGGCAGAGCGCAGTGAAGTGGAAGCTGCGATGCCTGAGCGGGCCCAGCCCGGCCCGGGGGCAGAGCGCCGGGTGGGTGCAGACTCCACCGCCTGTGAAGAGGTGTGGCTGTGAGTCAGAGGGGTGAGCTTGCCGCGTGGGCTTTCAGTCACTGCCCAGGCTCTCACAGGTCCTGGGAGTGCCTGCCGGGTTCGTGATTGAGGACGCAGGGCCCCCTCCAGGCCCTGCCTGCCCCTGGCTAACTGGCCTTCTGTCTCAGGAGTACAGCATCGTGATCGAGCAGCTCTCCAACGGCAAGTGGGTCCCCTTTGATGGGGACGACATTCAGCTGGAGTTTGTCCGCATCGACCCTTTCGTGAGGACCTTCCTGAAGAGGAAAGGTAAAAGCACCTCCCACAGGAAGCTGCAGGAGACGGTCCCGCCCCCGGCTCGCTCCGGGAAGCCTCGGGGACCCCACCCCGTCACCCGTGTCTGTCTTCCCAGGTGGCAAGTACAGTGTCCAGTTCAAGTTGCCGGACGTGTACGGTGTGTTCCAGTTTAAAGTGGATTACAACCGGCTGGGCTACACACACCTGTATTCTTCCACTCAGGTAAGTAGGGTCACAGCCCTTTCTCAGCCAGCACGTGCCTCGCCTGGGCTTCTGAGGGGCCGGCCTGTCCCTTCTGTCCTGTGGCAGGTGTCAGTGAGGCCGCTGCAGCACACGCAGTACGAGCGCTTCATCCCCTCGGCCTACCCCTACTACGCCAGCGCCTTCTCCATGATGGCCGGCCTCTTCATCTTCAGCATCGTCTTCTTACACATGAAGGAGAAGGAGAAGTCCGACTGAGCGCCGGAGCCGGGCTCCCAGCCAAGTGGGCCGGAGGGGTTTTGTGGGGTGGTTTTGTACCCCTTTGTGGTTTTTCTATTTTTTAAGCCGTGGGGCAGGGGCATAGCCCTGCCTCAGTGGGAGATGTGGCATTGAGTTCCAGGGGGTGGTTTTTAATGTGACTTTTTTCCACCTAATGCTAAGTGGTGTTTTCATATGTGTGGTCATGATTGTTTCTAAAATAAAAAGAAATGTTGCCCTCGAACCCGGCCTGGCCCTGGTGTGCTTTGCTGATGGAGTGGGTGGTGTTTGGTAATGACTGAGTATGAAATCATAAGTGGCCTCTTTTAATTTTGCCGAAGACTGGACTGTACTTTGACTGTGAAATGACAGCATTTCCAAACTTCTCAGGGGAGAAAGGTTTTAATGACACGCTGCGGCCCTGGGGCATCACTGAGACGGGGAACCTAAGGTTAACAGCGCCTGCCTTTGTAACAGACCTGCACAACTGCCTGGTTGAAAAGAACCTTAAATGAGTGTTCATTTGCTTTAGGGAACAGCCATGTCACTAAACAGCATGTGTAAAATTATATGTGAAGTCCCTTCTCCATTACTGACCACTTACCCACAAAATTTCCTTTATGGTAAAAGAATCAGTCTTAAAGCCAGGTAGTTCAAGGCACAAGTGTACTCTGCAATTGTAAACATGCGTTTAATTCTTCACAGTTCCTGTAAGAAATGCCATCAGAAGGAAGCTGGCAAGTACGAAACACTATGCTGTTAATTCCCATTTCATCTGCGTTTCAGCTCTGCTAGACTCAATTCAGTAGCCGGAGGAGCCCCCGGAAATGCCTGCTCAGTAACACCCCGAGCTGCTGGGGAATGTGCTGCGGAGGTGCAGAGGCGCTGTGCTGTTCGGGCCTGCCCGGTTATCCACTCTGACACCTGACTGCTGACCTGTGCAGATGTTTGCTTTAGCTCAGGTAACACGCCGGGATCCTCTGTAAAGCGGGGTGTGGCCCAGCCCTCCGTGGCCCAGCCTCATCTAACAGCCCAGTTCAGCACGAGACCCTCAGAGGTCTGTGAAGACGGAAGGTGAGCTAAGGTAGGGCTTTGTGGCCAGCCGTTAGCACCTGAGCGTATCCTCTCACCTGGTGCAGGGAACGCCTCCCTTTGGATTTGCGGCATGTGGGCACAGAGAGGCCTAGTGATTAGTCGGCGCTCTGGGAGTGAGACCCTTTGAACTCAGCTAGGCCCGGGGCTGGCAACCTACAGCTTGAGGGCCAACCAGCCTGCTGCCTATTTTTTGTATGGCCTGCAAGCAAAACATGGTTTTTACATTTTTAAATGGTTTTAAAAATTAGGGCTATTTGACACATGAAATGCCCATTTCAGTGTCCAAACACCAGCTTTATGATTGGCACCCAGCCGCGCTCGCTCGCTTGCATATCTGAGACTGACTGTGCTACAAGGAGAGCTGGGCAGCCCCGTCAGCTGGGGTGTGGACCACCGGGCCCTCTCGAGGGGAAGTCTGCCAACCACTGTCTACGCCAGCCCCTTCATTTACAGGTTAAGAGGACCTCAGACCACACGGTTATATACAACGCCTCCAAAGTCGCACGGCTAGAGTTAACAGCTACAGACCGCAAACTCCACTCAACTCGTTCCTCCGTCTGCCAAACCAGAGGCCACCTCTCCCACCCAGCAGCCCCCCCCGCACCATCTTCCCCCCGACTCCTCCCCTCCCCACGGACCCCTCTCTCAGCATTCACAGACCGTCACGACATAGGTGCTGCCAAGCTCTTTAGTGATTCGCCAGCCACATCAGCCGTCACGGGGCTGCCCTCCAGGAGTCAAGGAGGAGGGCGGCCTGGCACAGCGCCTCGTACTCCAGGTTGGCCAGAAACAACATCTTCATTTTTGTCTCCACGCAGCTCTTCTCCGTAAGCCTGTCGGCCAACAGAGTGGCCGCGGACTGTCGGAGGAGCCAGCCGATCATCTTGTCTAGTTTCAGATTCTTCAGGGCCAGGTTATGTTCGCCCCAGAGGCTTAAGTGAAGCACATTAGCAGCTACTCGGGCAGACAGTCTCTGCAACAGGAAGGGAAGCTGAGGCTTAGAACATCGGTGACAGTGTTTGGCCTGCAGCCGTCTTCGGTAAGGCGGCCTCTTTCCGGGCTCTTCCCTGCCCTGGCCCCAACCACGTTCTTCTCCGCCCTTCCCTCTCCTGACACGTGCTGGCTGCTCCCTGCCCGTGCTCCAGGCTTTTCCACGTAGACAGATTTGCTGGGGGACAGTGTGCTCCCAGCTGCAAGGGCCTGCCCATTATGGAAGGCCCACGGCCGCCTCCTGCTGCGAGCACTGTCTGGAGCGAGGAGCCAGACCTGGCAGCAGCTGGCAGCAGCGCGCACTACCGCGGTCACGACAGCACGCTGGGCACTGGGGCAGCTAAGTGGGAGAACCGGAACTGGAACCCAGGTCTGCCTCTGCTCCCTCCACTACGCATGCCACCTGAACCGGGCCCACCCTTCCAGCTGCACTCCATGTGGGCAAGCCTGCAGATTCCTTTACAGGGACCCCTGAGTGTCCAGCTCTGCTCCCATAGATGTCTTCATGCCTGCTGTCTCAGTAGAGCTCAGCCGTTGCCATAAACCACATCTCCGTCAGACATTTCTTAAAAATGCATCTTTTCCTGAGTAACTTAGGCAACTAAAGCCAAGAAGAGTTGAGTTGCTGGAACTCTAATCTGGTGGCCAGCTCCCCTGCTCCAATTCATACTAAAATTGAGTTTGTTCTCCTGTACGTGGCCTGTCTGTCTTCGTGAGACAGAGGAGCTGTCAGTCACTTGAGTGCTTGCCCAAACCTGATCTGTACTGAGGTTTCTACTCACAAAACCCCTGCAAAGCCAGGGCACGGCCTCACCTTGCGGGCATCCCGCTGGAGCAGTGACCTCACCAGCTGTCTCACATCCAGAGGCACCGACTCGGGCAGTGCAGGCAGCTGAGCCTCTCGGTAACTGCGGCTTTCGAGGTGGGCTCCGCCCTGGCCGTAGAAAGGATTGGCGAGCCCGAAGATTTCGTAGGCGAGTGCGCCCACTGCCCAGGCATCAGCCTTGCTGTAGTCGACCACCACCCTGGGGCCAGGGCGGGCTGTGGATACCTGCTTGGAAAGCAGTGGGTGAGTGTTCATGCTGCTGCTATCTCTAAGCTAATCGCGCTCCTGCATGGCACCTGATTCGTGGGCTAGTCGGAACTTTGTCCCAAGGAACCGAGGATTTGAGCGAGCTGTAGCTCAGACCCAGAAGAACCTGCTTAGGCTGTCTGCTCTGTGCTGACAGAACCTGCATCTCCCAGGGATACTGGGGGGATCCAGGTTAAAGCAAAGTGGCAGGGGAGGGACTGCCTCAGTGCATTACTTGGCACTGAGGGATTGTGCCAAATAATGGGCCCTGAGAGATGGAGGAGGGGAGAAAATAACGAGGGCTCAAGCTTCGTTCCGTCAGTGGAAACCCCGATGAGTCGCTGCTGATGACAGGGGACATGCTCACCAGGACTCACCTCAGGGGCCATCAGGCTGCTGTTCCCGCCCAGGTCCACATACCAGCTGGGGAAGGGCAGCCGCAGGCCGACATGCTCATCGGCCAGGCAGCAGCCAAAGTCCGAGATCACTAGCCAGGGGCAGCCATCTGGGGAAGCGATGGGAGACATAAGCCACTGCTGCTCCGTCTTCCCTCTGAGAGGACCCCCGCCCCCGGTGTCCCGACTTGAGCCACCATCAAGACACAGGTGAGAGGGGCTCACAGGGGCTCAGGACTGGTCCAGGGGAGGTGGGAGGGCTCCCCGGCCAGCTGAGTGGCAGGGCCAGCTACACAAATACAGAGTCGCGTCTAGGAACCCAGGCTCCCAGACAAAGCCCCAGGTGAAGAACTGGGTGTGCCCAGCTCAGTCTAAACAGGACAGTGACTGGACCTGCCCCAGGATGGAGGCCTGCTGTCACTTACTCAGCATCATGCTTGGCTCAAATGACCTCTGATGGCCTTTATACCCTGACAGTTTTTTATTTGAATTTAAAACCCCAAAAGTCCAAACCTAAGAAACAGATGCATTAGGAATTAGTTATTTGTGAAAGGATTCACAGAGACTTCCTTTTAAAAGCCAGTTCCTCTAGTACTTTAACTGCATGTTTACTTATTTTACATCTATATTAAAAGTGAACAGATGTGAACCTCCTTTACAGTCTTCCCAAACCACTAACCATCCGGCTTCTACCGGAACGCTTCCACTGACAGGAAGCCATTATTTGCAGAGGCAACCGGGCTTGCACTGGGGCCTCTTCCACAGTTTGGAAATTCTTCCTTCCACTGAGCTAAAGTCCACCTCTCTCGTACTTCTGCCAAGAACACATCCACTGATGAGGTGGTTCTGTAAGTGGGCAACAGAAAGGAACTTGGAAATGTTAACTACCACTCCACAAATCCCACAGAGAGAACGAACGCCTCCACTCTGAAGGAGGGACTGCACGTGTCCTGTGTATACAGCCAAATGTAGACAGCTTATAATAGGACATAAAAACGAAAAAGGACCTATGTTCCCAGACCTCAAGTCTAGTGCCCCCTGGAGGCGTGGCAGTGCATCCAGGCGCCTACCTGCGTCCAGCTCCACAAGGATGTTGTCAGACTTTAGGTCTCTGTGTGCCACGCCCTGCTGAACCAGATGGTCCACTCCTTCCAGGAGCTGCAAGAGCATCACGGTGGCGAGGCGGGGGCTCGGGCTGTTCTCGCGGAGGTACTGGCGCAGGGTGCAGGGGTAGCTGGGGGAGAGGGTCATGCACGGACTTATTTACTGTTAGGATGACGGTCTTTCCTCCTCTTCCTAGAGCTTTCAGACTTCTTTTTGCCCCAAGTCTCCTTTCTGTCCCCACCCACCACCCTGAAATGAGGAAGAGGACACATGTAAAGGAAAGAGGCCAAAACGTAAAGGAAAGTGCCCTTGGCACAGCCTTATCTCCTTAAGTGTAAGGATCCTCTTCCCTACTAGAGAGGCAGGGACCAGTCCCACTTACCCCAGGCCCTGCCACGCACGTGCTACTTACTTCTTCATGACGAGGAAAAGTGTCCGCCCGTGGCCCAGGCCTTCGGGGTTAAGACGTGGGGGAAGCACATCCGGGTAGTCCACCAGGGCCCCTGGCAGCAGTGGGACGGACGAGGTGAAGGCGCGGAGGACCCGGATGATGTTGGGGTGAGGGGCCAGTTGCTTGGGGCCTCTTCTGGATTTTCTGTTTCAGCCAAAAGGGACAAACATATGAGGCCAGTAACACAGCAGTTGGAAAGATGGTGATCTAAGGCCACAAGAAATACTGCCATTCATTTATTTGCCCGTTTATTTTTCAAATATTTACTGCAGGTCTGCTGTGTTCTAGGCAAAGTGCCTGGTGTTAGAGTAAAACACCATTAAGGAGACTCAGCACATGTGATGACTTCACCAGCCCGTCTGTCTGTCTGTCCAGCCACCCATCTGTCCCCCGATCCATCCCACATGGCTGACACAGTGGCTGGGAGCCCCTGGAACCAGACAGCCTGGGTTGGGATTCCAGGTCGGCCCTGGTGAAGCTGCTAACTTCTCGGGGCTTAGTCTCCAGTGCCAAAGGGGAAAGGCAGTGACGGACCTCGTGAGGTCGGTAGTACTAGTTAAGAAAGGACCTAGAATCTCTGTGAGCCCCAGTCCTTGCACTAATACTTGGTGTGGAGGATGAGCTCAGCAAACCTTTGCTGAACGAACGGACACAGCTGGTAGCAGAGCTGTCGCCTGCCTGCCCTCCCCACCCCTCCTCCAGCGGCCGCACCCCACAGCCCTGCTGAGGCATGGGGACATGTTTCTGATTGCATGACTGCCTGCTGTGTACCAGCTCAGCCCCTCAACCAGAGACGACTGGACGAAGGGGTGGGACCATGAGCCTGCAGTCACATCTGAGATCCAGTGGTTGGTGGGAAAAGGGAAGGGGCGAGCTAGAGTCTCTCTGAGGGGCACGAACGAGGACACATGGTGGAGGCCTGGCGGTTGACAGTGGAGCTGGCAAGAGGGTGACGTGAGGTTTGCTTGGGGCCGTTGGAAGACCAGGGTGTGCGAGCCGAAGACACCAGGACAGAAGAGCCGCGTGGCAGAGAGAGGAGGACAGAGAAGCCGCCCGGAGACAGCAAGACAGCTCTCGGGGAGCAGACACCTGCCGTGTCCTCAGAGCCCCAGTGTGGCAGACCCGGCCCACGTGGGGCCTTCTGCTCTTCTGCTCCAGTCCACCCCAGGGGCCCTGTCCCGTGCAGCCCCAGGGGTCAGAGCGTCGTTCCCTCGGGAAAACACTGTCCAGCTGTCACGGGAGCCCAGAGGAGGAGTGTGGCTGTGTAGCCCAGCAGAGCTACCTGCACGCAGAGAGGCAGGAGGCACGGAGGAACCAGGTGCCTTGGGGGGCAGTGGGAATCCAGTATGTGGGGTGTGGCATGTACCTGGGACAAGATGAGAAATCAGATGGGAGGAGAAGTGAGCGGAGCAGACACAGGACTGACCCGAGGTCCCCAGGTGAGCACACCCCGGCTCTCAGGGAAGGGTGTTTCCCTGACACAGCGTTAGGTGTCGCCAGAACTGCAGGTAACAGACCTTCGGCCACTTGCATCCCTCACTTAACAGACACCCCCTGAGCTGTGGGGAACGCAGTGAACAAAACCTGACAGCCCTGGCCTCAGGGCGCATTGCACAGCTGGAGAGACCGTGAATAGACAGACAAAGCATCGCCCTGGCTGGTGTGCTTCAGTGGTTGGGCGCTGGCCTGTGAATCAAAGGGGCGCTGGTTTGATTCCCACTCAGGACACATGCCTGGGTTGCAGGCCAGATCCCTGGTAGGGGATGTGTAAGAGGCTACTCTTTCTCTCTTGTACAACTCATCCCCTCTCTGTAAAAATAAATAATCTTAAAAACATAAAGTAAAAACTACATAAAAAAAACAAAGACACCTGTGCTCTACGGTCAGATGGTGATTCGTGCTACGGCAAGGAAAAGGACTCGAGAGTGGCAGGGACTGCCTCTCTCTACCTCAAGAGAGCCCTGGGCAGGGCTCTCTGTGCCAGAGACGCTGTGCTCCAGCTACGCGACAGCGCCCCAAGGGCAGCTGACATCGGGTGGTCCGCTGGTCCCTCCCGAGGAACCGAACGGGACGGCAGCGCTGAGCCCACGGGCCCGCACGGACCCGCAGGCGCACTGCAGCCCTCCGAGCAACGGACGGCGTTTTCCCCGTGAGTTACCCTGGGTCCCTTTTCTATCTTCCTGCCTCTGCCGGAACTAGGTCTGCAAACCAGTCCCCTAGTAAGTCACCAAAGATGCGCAGGCCCCCCTCTTCCTGGTGGTCTACACATGTCGCAGTGAGCACAAGTGCCTCCGCTGTCACAGCTCACACACGTGGACTTGCGGAGCCACTGTTGGCCAGGCTGCCGCCCACCCGCTCCCCCCGAGGACAACGCCTTTTCCTACTGCTTTGCCGAGCTAATGTCCGTTCACCCTTCAAAAGGCAGTGAGAATTGGCCCTTGAAGAGGGGACAAGAGGCTTTTCTGAACGGCCCCGCCCCCACCACATACACGCCACCTCTGGACTCCCTCAGCACCTGCGTACACACCATTCTAGAACGCACCACACCTGACTCTGCTCCTGAGCTGCCCGGCTCCCAGGCCTCATGGAGAACTCCTGGGGAACAGGCTTTTTAAAAATCTCAGCACCGTGAGATGCACTGCAGCTATCAGAGGAATGAATGTTACCTCTGCTGGGAGCAGAGTTCAGTACTTCACCTGGGCATGACTTAGGCAGAATCAGAAACCAGGTCGCTATTCCACTTTCTGAAACAGCATTTTGGGATGGCCTCTCCCCCTGCTCCAGCGTGAACCAGCCACCGGCATCTCCAGTGGGGGTCAGGGTGATCTACAGTCATTCCCAAGTGACTTATGCACCAGCTGAAAACCCATCATTAACTACATCATGCAATAAGCACTCACTGTCTCCTGTGAGTCATGTCAGACATGGTGCTGAGTGCTGAGGACTTGGCGGTTTGTTCTCAAAGAACTCACAGCCAATCTGGTGGGCAGGTGGGTGCTTACCTGTAAGTGACTTCTCCGTACTCCCCGGCCAGGGCCATTCGACTGGCTGGGACTAGCTCTCGGCCCATCTTGCTAAAGATGGCTTCGCTGGAGGAGCCGGCCTAAAATGCATCCACAATGAATCCACGGTTACTACAGACCCCCAAGCAGAATGGCAAGTCTAAGCCCTCCTTGTACTGGGACCAGAACGGCTACACTGTGCAAAATTGGCTTTGACCTTCAAGATAACCTCTCTAAAGTATCAAGCCAAGATCAGTTTCTCCTGGGAGAAAGGGCAGAGGTGTCACCCAATGTCACAAGAGGCCCTGAGACGCCAGGGCAGGGAGATGGCAAGATGAGCAGGGCGTGGGCCCCGTCTTCTGCCACAGGTGCATGTGGTCACCACCAGACTCGTCCTTGTAGGCTCCCTTCAGCAGCCAGGCCGGAGCCAGACACGCCCACCCTGGATAAAGTTGTGCTGAATCACAGAACAGCCTTCCTATCCCCCAGTAAGAAACAAACAAAAAACCCAGAGGAGGAAGGTCACCTTATTTTCCTCATTTCACTATGAACAGCTCTCAGGACCCATGAAACTTAAGTATGGAGATTCTGTAAGAATCGAGTGTTTCAGCTCTTGTGAAAGCACCGGCTGCAACACGCAGCCAGCGGCAGCTATGATGCCTGACTGGCCGATTCATAGGCAAAGGGTTTTGCTACTTGTTAGCTATTAACCCGGCTTGGAAGTGCCGCCGTCTAACAGCCTCGCTCCCCCAATCGGAAGGAGACACCGCAGGTGTGCGCTCTTCTGCATCCAGCACCAGCTGCAGGGCTGTCTCTGCCTCAGCCCTGCCCGTGCTCCGGGCAGGACAAAGGACGGGGGTCCGGATGAACTTTCTAAACCCTCCTAATGCAAGGGCAAGGAAAAGAACTACTCCAAATAGAGAGAAAGCTTCATTTTTGTTGGGGGAATGCACTTAATTTCCGAAAGCCTTAAGTCCTCCAAGAACTGACAGCAAGGAGGTGATGACCAAGCCTCTAACCCGGAGGTGAGGTGGAGGTGAGTTTAGAGTTGAGTGGGGCCCCTCCTGCCCAGGGAGGCAGGTTGAGGGGAAGAGAGAGGATGCTGGCAAGTGCGGCCGGAAAATGCACTAACTGACTGGCCAGGACTGCCAGGTGAGAGGCCGCTGGTTTAGGCCCTTGCTACTCAAGCTGTAGCGCACAGACCGGCAGCATGGACACCACCTGGGGGCTGGCTTAATGAAAGGCAGGGCTGTGGGCCCCACCCCGGACCTGCTGACCAGGACCTGCCCATCCCCAGGTGATTCGTGGACCTGCTGTTTCGAGACACGCTGCTTCACCCTCCTGCGTGAGGGGGAGGAAGCCTAACAGTACAGGCACCAGACTGTGGAGAATCTGTCTTTCCCTGTCTACTTCCAGGAAAAAGCACCGCCCAGCCCCCCAGATCGGCACCTCGCCCTTACCGAGATGTTCCACATCATCTTGATGGCTAAGGGAAAGGTGGGGGCCTGTGGGGCGCGCCCCTTCTCTGCTCCCAGCAGGGTGATGTCTTGGCCTCTCCCTGGAAGAAGCCCCACGCTCTTTGCCACCTCCAGGTTCCGGGGCTGCACAGGCACGGCGGCTTCGTACACAGCAGCACTGCAGCCCTTGCCAAGGGACTGCCCTATCAGGTACTCATCCAGCTGGAAGCCCTGCCAGCGTCTGGAGTCCAGCAGGTCAGGGAGCAGCTTGCTTTTCTCTGTAAAGACTGCCTGTGAGGGGAAAAGGTGAGCACTGTGAGCCAGGGGACCAGGAAGGCTCACCTAAAGGGCACGGGGAGGAGGTAGAGTGGGGCGGGGCTCCAGTGACAAGACTGGGAGCTGTCAGAACACACCCAGCTGGATGGGACTGCTCAGCCTGGGCTGGGCCCCTCCTGCCTCTCTCAGCGCTCAAGAGTGATTTCCCCAAACTCTGTCGTTCACTGCATCGGATGCAGCCCAACACTGAACGTCGTCAGTTAAGAGGTCAGACCCTCCAAATTCTGCAGCTGACACGCTCCACTCCTTGCTGCCTGTCAAGTCCCCAGCGCGATGCTGGAGTTCTGACTACTGAGACAGCTCCCTCTGCAGAGAACTTGGCAACTTCCGTGCGGGAAGCAGGGCTGTGGGCGGGCAGGGTATGCGGTGTACGGCTGCCCCTCCACTGGTGAGTGAGCCCGGTCACCCGTACACAAGGGGGTGAAATCAGGAGGACCCCTGGGGCTGAGTCATTAAATCCTGTCTTTACCTCTTAGGAATCTGGGGGCCCACCCTGGTTCCAGAAAGGAAACAAGAACGTAAGAATTCTGATGGAAATATGAGATAGAAATGCAGGTGCTGGTGGGGATGCACTAGGAAAGAGCCCACTTCTCCCAAATCTGAGTCCTTCCCTACTTCAGGCAGTGACATCATTTGTCCCACGGCCCAGGCTCCACATCACATTCTGTCTGTCTGATCTCCTGATCCCTTCCTTTCTGCGGTTACCCACCTCTAGACCTTCCCACTCCCCCATCAGCCCTTCACCCGCTTCTGAGCCAAATCAAACCACTGCCTTCATGTGCTACTCACTCTTCTATTCAGAAGACCTAGCCAGTGGGGAAGAAGGTACAGGGATTAAGATGCATAATTGGTACGTACAAAATAGACGAGGTGGTGGGGGTGGTGGTGGTGGTGGTGGTATGTGTGTGTGTTAAGAATCATATAGAAAATGGAGAAGCCAAAACTTATATGCACGACCCATGGACATGAACTAAGGGAGGAACTGCTGGAGGAAAGGGGGTTACCAGGTGAAAGGGAGGAAAGGGGGAAAATTGGGACAATTGTAATGGCATAATCAATAAAATATACTTAAAAAAACACAGGAAAGTGACACCGGTACACTACTGCTAACCAGACTATAAACCTGAGTTTTAACATCTTTTTAAATAAAAAAGATTTTATTTATTTATTTTTAGAGAGAGGAGGAGGAAGGGAGAAAGAGATGGAGAGAAACATAGATTGGTCGCTTCTTGCGCCCACAACAGAGGACCTGGCCCACAACCCAGGCACATGCGCCTTGGCTAGGAATCAAACCACTGACCTTTCAGTTTGCAGGCTGGCACTCAGTCCACTGAGCCACATCAGCCAGGGCTCCCCACCTTTTCTAACCTGCACTCACTGGTGTGTGCACAGCTACGCAGCTTTATCCCACGTATGGGTTTGTGCGGTCACCACCACAGCTGTTCCATCACCACAAAGGAACTCCTTTGTGTTACCTGTTTGTATCTGCACCCCCCCACTGCACCCCCCACACCCCCGTCCCGATCCCCTGGCATCCACTGATCTGTTCTCTCTAGTTTTGTTATTTAAAGAATATTATATAAATAGAATCACAGAGTCTAACCTTTGGGACTGACCTTTTTCACTAAGCATAATGCCCTTGAGTTTCACTTAGGCCTCTGACCTGCATCAGTAGTCAGCTCCTCACTACTGCTCAGTCTCTGGGAGGAAGGGCCAGTTTGTTCAGCACTTGTTGAAAGGCACTTGGGTTGTTGCCACTACTTTGCTACTGTGAGTGATACTGCCAAGATTCATGTGCAGGGCTTAAAAATTCTTTTAAAGAACTGCGGTAGAAAATACATAACATAGAACTGACCCTTTCACCCATTTTTAAGCGGACAGTTCAGTGGCATTAACTACAGTCACACTGCTGTGTGACCACCGTCTGACTCTAGGACTTTTTCATCTTAAATTCCACACCCACTAAACAGTACGTCCCATCCCGTTTCCTTCCAGCCCCTGGCAGCCCCCATTCTCCTTTCTGCCTCCATGAACTTCCTATGAGTGGAATCCTGCAGTAACTGTCATTTTGTGACTGGCTCATTTAGCATAATGTCCCCAAGATTCATCCATGTTGGATCCTGTGTCAGAATCCCCTTTCTTTTTAAGGCTGAACAATCCTCCACTCATCCACTGATGGGCCCTTGGGTTGGTTCCACATTTACCTATTGTGAATAACAACACTATGCACACAGCTATACAAATTCCTGTTCTAAGTCCCTGCTTTCAGCTCTTCTGTGTACACACTAAGAAGTGGACTTGCTGGATCACGTGGTGATTCCGCTTTTACTGTGGGGAGAGCTGCCATACTGTTTTCCACAGCAGCAGTGGAAAGGGGTTTTTGTGTGTTTTTTTTTTAAACAAAAGGTTTTTGTTTAAAATAAACCTTTCCATGGACAGGTTTCGGTTTAAACAAGTTTTCATTTCTCTGGGAAACGCCCAGGACTTTGATGGCTAGGTCACATGGCCACGCAGGTCTCTGTTTAAGAAACTGCTGCTTTCCAGAGCGGTGTACCACTCTTTACTCTCCCCCACGGCCCAGTCTCTCTGCACCCGCACCAGCATTTGGTATCACCGCTGTGTTTGATTCTAGTTCCGGTCAGTACGTCATGATGTCACACTGTGTTTTCCACCTGCGTTTCCCTGGTGGCTGGTGAACTCTTTTCATGCACACATCTGACACGTGTGTCTCCTCTTGCTGATACATGTCTGTTTCCCATTTTATAACTGAATCCCCTCTCCATATGCTTCCATCTGAAAGGAGCAGCCACTATTCTACTCTGATACCATATGGAATTTTAGGGTTAGAGATGTCATATCTGCTGATTTTTCTTAGAAAAAGAAGTCAAACCCCTGAATTTTAAAAACTGAATTTTAAAAACTGTCAACTAATTAAGACTTGTAAGACGCAGGAGGGTGAAGGGTGAGAAATGGACGTGAAGATGGTAAGCTCAGGAGGACAAGCCTCTCTGTTAAAAAAAGCCTCCATAAACCTAAGCAGGATTATCAGGTTTCCCTTGGCTTCTGCCAGTTAAGCTGTAGCCAAAGGCAAGGACATCAGCTGGGGACTGGGCCAGACGTCACCTGTCATCCCAAACCAGCCAGAGTTCAAACCTGAGACACTCTGGTGCTTAACAACAAGAACAGGGCCCAGAACCCGGACACAGGGGAGACACTGCTGGGTCCTTAGCCAGCGCGTCCTTGGACAAGCCGCCCCACCTTCCAGCCCCTTGCCCCCGACTGTAAGTTGCAGGAGCTGCACTAAGTCAGCACGTGGCTCCCTGGAAGTGAAGGGAGCTCCGGCAGCAGATGGCCATCACACTTGCACAGCGGTGGCAGTGGCTCTTCCCTGGGTCTCCAGCCTGCCTGCCTTTCTGCCCTGCAGATGCCGGACTTTCAGCCTCCGGAACTGCAGAGGCACGACCTTAAAATAAATTTTTTTCTATAAGCCCATCCCATTGGTTTTATTTCTCTGGCGAACGCCCACTAAGAGTTTAGTAGAGTAGAAACAGAGGTCTCGGAGCTATTTTAAGCATCTTTTAAAAGCCTGAGACACCCCACATATCCAATCACTCCTGATTAACCCCACTCAGGTTACAAATGGTCAGGTGTGATGTTTTCTCCTGCTGTTTACAGTTCTGACTTTGGCCTCAGCTGTGTTACTGTCTTGCTAAACTGTGTAGGCAGTCTGGCTCAGTGCCCAAGGACAGGGGCTCTGGGGGGCCAGACTTCACCAGCTGTGTGACTTCGAGCAAGTTATTTTACCTCTGAGCACATGTCCTTATTCATAAATTGGCCATGACAACTACCTCAGGGATAGAGTATTATGATTTGTCACTAAATTTTAAAAATTATTTATTTTTAGAGAGATGGGAAGGGAAGGAGGAAGGAGAGAAACATCAATGTGTGGCTGCCTCTGACGCACCCTCTACTAGGGACCTGGCCCACAACCCAGGCATGTGTCCTGACTGGGAACTGAAGTGGTGACCCATCGGTTAGCAGGCCTGCACTCAATGCACCGAGCCACACCAGCCAGGGCTCATTAGTTGTTGTTTTTTTTTATAATTACAAAAAGCCATTACAATGGTGCAACAGGAGGTATCATTAGCATTCTTCCAAAACATGATGATTGAGAAGGGAAAACAGTAAAACAAATGATCCCCATACCAGAAGATCAGTAACACTGAACATGAGCCTCAACTGGTGATTTCCAAAGAATTTCTGGGCCCGAGGAGCATAAATCCTGGACTTAACAGAATTCAGGGCTCCAGAGGCCTAATGCCTCCTAGCCCCTCCCTACCACGCCCACACCCTAGCCCCGCCCCCGAAGATCCCATGGCTCCGCCCACGCCCTTGGCCCCCGCCCCCACCAGCTGAAGGTCCCCTTCTAGCCTAACTCTGGTCCTCGCCCCGCCCCAAGCCGGCGCTCACCTGGATATCCTGGCAGGCCGAGGCCGCCCTCCGGCCCTCCGCCTGCTTCTCCTCAATCAGGCCCAGACCCAGCCCGAAGGCCAGAAAAACTGCCCGGCCGCAAGGGCCCCCGCCGCCCCGGGCTCGCACCACCAACTGCCGCTGGAGCCGCGCCGCCAGCCCCGCCACCGACTGGCGGAAGAAGCGGTAGCGGTCGGGGAGCCCGAGCCCGAGCCTGCGCGGCTCCGCAACGGGTCCTGCGGCCTGGCCCGGGCGCTCTCCGCGGCCCCGGACGCCCGCGGGGCCCGGTCGCTCGGGCCGCCCCCAGCCGTAGGCCGGGCCAGGCTTGGCGGTGAAGCGCAGCAGCAGCGCTCGACCCAGCTGCAGGCCCCGGCCCAGCGCCTGTCGCACCGCCATGGTAGCGCCCCGCAGGCGTCCCAGACGCCAGCCACAACAAACTTGGGGCGGTGCCTCTACGCAGGCGCGGGCGCCGATGGGCGGGGTTGCCGGTCTGACCGTTCCAGCGCTGGACGCGCGAGGGCGCTGTGCGCGCACCCGGTGGTCCGTAGTTTCTTGCCCTTTTGCGCTTTGGATGGGCTTTTACATCAGGCAAGTCTTGAAGTGAACTTTGCTGGTCCGGGGAAATGAATATTTATTGAGTATCACCCACCGAGCCAGACTCTACAACTGCTAGTTTATTTAATCTTCCTACCAAGAAGATATGAACCTCATATCTATAGTTAAGGAAACAGGCCTATAAAGGGCTGCCACAGTCAGAGGTCACAGTGTCAGAGCTGAGGTTAAAGTTCATGATGTTTTGACTATTGAGTTCTTCCCCTCCCCACTGCCCTTAGGCTCCTCTCTGCAAGCGTGCAATCCCTGCTGGCTTCTTAAGACCCTAAGAGAAATCTCACCCAAAGGCCACATTTTTCAGATGAATTGAGTCCGGAGTCGTGAAGGGACTTGCCCAAAGTCATACAGCTTGTTAGTGGCAGAACCCTGGTACCCAAACAGTTGTAATGAAAGGCTAATAAAGGGATTCATACTGAGCAATTTCTTTTTTCTTTCTTGTCTTTTTAAAATGGGAGCTTTTAAGTATATTTTATTGATTCTGCTATTAGAATTGTCCCATATTTTTTTCTTCCCTTTTTCCTCCTCTGTTACTCCCATTCTTCCAGCATGCCCCTCCTCAGTTCATGTCCGTGGGCCGTACATAGAAGTTCTTTGGTTTCTCCACTTCCTGTACTATTCTTAACTTCCCGGTGCCTAGTTTGTGCTACCAGTTATGCTTATTCCCTGTGCCTTCTCCCCAAGTCTTCCTCCTCCCCCGCTGACCTGTGCACTGGCTGGCAGTGTCTGCGGCGTCATGGATGCGACATGAGACAAATTCACATGGACTACTGAGTCCTGTGGAGGAAAAGGGACGGCATGGTTACTCCGTCAAAGTGGGAGTGCCTTAGAACGGCCTGGCTACCCTCTCAAAGGGAGCGAGAGCACTCTGACCCTTGCCTAGTCAGGCTTTTATTGTGTGGTTTGTTTTTTTTTTTGCACAGGAGTTCAGGTACAACTTATTAATCATTGTCAGGCAGTAAGCAGTAGATAGTATACAAAGAACCATTGGGGCTTCTTCTAAGTCAGGGTCTGTCAGCTAAAAGGCTACAGAACTTTGAGAACATAAACTCTTTTTCTGCTCAGGCCTTTATCATTTAACTAAAAGCATCCTTAGCAAAGTAGGTTTCACAGGGTTCCACATATTCTTTCTCAGGCCTAATTACCCAGGGAGCCCACCATTCCCAGCACAAGGCTACACCACCCTCTGTCATCGTTTTCAGGCTTTAGTCAGGCAGGGGAGGCAGATAACCAAGAAATTCTCGAGACTTCTCGCAGACAGACTGAAGACTCAGGCTTCCTCAAAGCCGAGGGGGGAGGGTCCATCACCCCCTTTCTCCTTAGCCCCCCAAGTCCTTCCCTGGGCCCTCCACGGGATCATGCCTGTCTTAGGTGATTCCCCGCTTGGGGAATCTTTCCCGTCATTGGCTAACTGCTCAGCATTGGAGGCCAGTTATGGAAAAAGGAGCAGAAGTGGTGTTCCTGCCAGGGAGATAAGCTTTGTCTCCTTAATGGCTTATGGTCCGAAGGTTGCTCACTCAGCCTTAGCCACCAGGCAGGGCATTTCCCAACACCGCTCCCCACTGATAACCCTCCAGGTGATCTCCATTTCTGTGATTCTGTTTTTGTTCTAGTTGTTTGCTTAGTTTGTTTATGAGGGTTTTCTTTAGGTTTAGTTGTTGATAATTGTGAGATTGTTGTCATCTTACTGTTCATATTTTTTATCTTTTTCTTAGTTAAGTCCCTTAAACATTTCATATAATAAGGGCTTGGTGGTGATGAACTTTAACTTGACCTCATCTGGCAAGCACTTTATCTGCCCTTCCATTCTACATGATAGTTTTGCTGTATAGAATAATCTTGGGTGTAGGTCCTTGCCTTTCATGACTTGGAATACTTCTTGCCAGTCCCTTCTTGCCTGTAAGGTCTCTTTGAGAAATCAACTGACAGTCTGACGGGAACTCCTTTGTAGGTAACTGTCTCCTTTTCTCTTGCTGCTTTTAAGGTTCTCTCTATTTTTTTTTTAAGATTTTGTTTATTAATTTTTAGAGAGAGAGGAAGGAAGAAAAAAGAGAGGGGGAGAAAAACGAATGTATGTTTGCCCCTTGCATGTCCCCCACTGGGGAACTGGCCTGCAACCCAGGCATGTGCCCCTACTGGTTATCAAACCTGTGATCCCCCAGCTCATAGGTCAGCGTTCAATCCACTGAGCCACACCAGCCAGGCTAAGATTCTCTCTTTATCTTTAATCTTTGGCATTTTAATTATGATGTATCTTGGTGTGTTCCTCTTTGGGTCCAACTTGTTTGGGATTCTCTGAGCTTCTTGAACTTCTATGTCTATTTCCTTTGCCAGATTAGGGAAGTTCTCTTTCATTATTTTTTTCAAATAAGTTTTTAATTTCTTGTCCTTCCTCTTTTCCTTCTGGCACCCCTATGATTTGGATATTGGTACATTTAAAGTTGTCCCAGAGGTTCCTAAGCCTCCCCTCCTTTTTTTTGAATTCTTATTTCTTCATTTTGTTCTGAGTTGACTATTTATTTCTTCCTTCTGCTCCAAATTGTTGATTTGAGTTCGTTTCCTTCCCTTCGCTGTTGGTTCCCTATATATAAAATGGGAATTTTTAAACATACTAAAAAATACAATGGTATAGTGAACCCCATGTACCCATTAATCAGCTTCAACAAAATCATTATTCACTCATACCATTCAAGAAAAAAAAAATCTATAGGTTCCAAATGGCATCACTTCTGCTAAAAGCCCATGATAACAAATGCAGATTTAATATCCAATCTAATTGCAATTTCAGCCTCTCCCAGAACTATAATCAACCAGCATGAAGTTTTCTGGTCAAGCCCCAGTAATCTGTCACTGAAGCCCTCTCCATCTCTCATGGACGAAAGAGGTGTCATGAGGACGGGGGCATCCCTGAAAGTCACACACATTTGTGTCTTTCCACAATGTCAGATTCAGCAGGGGAGACCTCCCCAGTAAGCCAACAGAGTCAAGCAGGTTACACACCGAGAGGGGGAGCTGGTACAACAGAAGTGAGCAGTGAGCAGAGCGAGCGTCTGCAGGGAAGCCCCATGTGTAGTAGGTGGAGGGGTGGCCTTGGTCTCCAGCCAGGCGGCTGCAGTGGCGGCAGGAGTCTGGTGCAGTGGAAGTCTTCTAGCAGGGCTCTGAGTGTGGCCTGCGGGGCAGCCAGGCTTGAGCCTTGGGGGTCTGAGCTGTGAGTTCTTACAGCCCACAAGCCTCGGGGGTCCCACTCACATCAGTGTCCAGATGGAGTACTCATCCAAGTGTCCAGACTCGCGGTTTTGGACATCCCAGGCCCCTCCTAAGGGTGTTCCTGTTACATCCCATTACCTCAGTCTTGACATAGCACTTGACCTACTGTCACAGCCGACAGTGACCCTGTATTGGATTGTCGAAGGTGTCAAAAAGTCCACTCTGCTCTTGCTCTATACATTAGGTAATCTACATAATAAAAATCCTTTCCCTTGCCTTTCCCCACAGAAAAGATGACCCTGTCCCGATATAATCCTTTCCTTTCTGTCACTAATAGCTCCCTTGCCCCACCTTGCTTCCTGTAAAACCCATTTTGTGCAGCTCCTGGGACCCCCCTCTGTTTGCTAGACAGGATGCTGCATGACTCATGAATCAGTCGGGTCAATTAGGTCTTCAAATTCGCTAGGTCAAATTTTGTTTTGTTTTTGTTTTAATTTTAGAACAATCATATTTGCCATTTTATTTTTTTAATATATATTTTTAAAAATTTAGTCATTTTTAGAGAGGGGGGAAGGGAAGGAGAAAGGGAGGGAGAGAAACATCAATGTGTGGTGGCCTCTCGCACGCCCCCTACTGGGGACCTGGCCCTCAACCCAGCCATGTGTGCTGACTGGGAGTTGAACTGACAGCCCTTTGGTTTGTAGACCCACGCTCAATCTACTGAGCTACACCAGCCAGGGCTGAATTTGTATTCTACTAGTACTAAGAACAGTGCCTTTCTCCTACTCCCACCCCCTGATTACTTTAAAGCAAATCCCAGACATCGTTATTTCATTTTTAGATACTTCAGTATCTATCTCTAAGTGATAAGAAATATTTAAAAAAACATAACCATGGCACTGCCTGGTGTGGCTCAGTGGATTGAGCACTGGCCTGCGAACCAAAGGGTCTCTGGTTCAATTCCCAGTCAGGGCACATGCCTGGGTTGCAGGCCAGGCCCCCAGTAGGGGGCGCAGGAGAAGCCGGCACACACTGATGTTTCTCTCTCCCTCCTTCTCTCTCCTTTCCCCTCTTAAAAGAAAATCTTAAAAAAAAAAACAAAGTTGAAATCTATGCATCTGCTAAGCGTCATTACCATTCCAACTCTTCCCTTTAAGCCTTACTGAGAGGGTACGAGAGTTGTTCTGAGGTCTTTAGTTCTAAGCCCGAGGACTTCCTTCACGCTGCTGGCAATGTGACAGTTTACCGTGACGAGTATACAGCTAACGGGATGTACACACTCTGGGAAGGTTGTGTGGGTTGTTTTGAGTTAAGAAGTGGGTTTGTTATCAGCCTTCGCCTTTAGTCCTGTGGTGTGCAGATAAACCAGCAGCCTGTGATGCCTCGCCACCCAAATCTCTAGCTGGTGTTCATTAACCCTCCTTTGTAGGCCTGCAGTTCCTTGTTCCACAGAGCCCTGGACTTTCAGTCAAGATGGCGCCGGACTGGTTCACTTCCCCTTGTGCAGAAAAATCTAAGTTTCTTTGACAGGTCTGAACCAAGCACAGTGTGAAGCTGGATGGAAAGGGCAGCCAAGTTCATTCTTCAGAGAGAAGCTTCTAGTAGGAATGTCAGGGGTGCTGTGTTCTCCATTCTCAGGACAGAGATACAGCCTTATCACAGAGGGACACCCAGCTACCTTTCTTAGGGATCATGGCCCTGATTCCATTTGTTCCCCTCTGTTTCCTGGAGAAGGAAAACCCCGTGGTGGCAACAAATCTCAGGTCTCGGGGGTGGTCCTGAGGCTCTGTGACAACATTTTCCGTCTCTTTAATGGTATCTCAAGAAGAGGAAGTCAGGACATGGTATATGGTTTTCTGCTGAGATATTCATTTATACTGAAGACTGTCTATTCTATAGGAGAGTCTCATTCATGCCTAGACCATTATTAAGCATTGCCGGGCACCAGGGAGGCTCTGATAGGCTCGGCCACAAGGGTTAGAGAACGGAGGGGCAGGGAGGTGTTGGAGAGACCCTGGGGTTCTCCTGTGCTGTGTGCTCTGGTCTGTGGGCGCCTTTCTGTCTTGTTTATATTCTTTTCTTTCCAGGCAGCGAGACTGTGTAGTTTTGGTAAGGTACATAATATTCCTAAGAAGCATCATTTAACCTTCCCCCAGAGGACATGGAGGGGAAAAAAGCTGATGCTAATGGAAAAATGGAAAAAGACAAGGAAAAAAAAAAACCATCAAGGGCTTTTCGACCTTCTGTCCTGGCACCATTTCAATCCTCTTTGTCTCCTCCTGGCAGGGGACAGACACTTTCTCCAGGGGCAGCAACGTCTTCTACCCGCAGCCCATTTCAGAAATGCTATCGCTAAATTGCCAGCAGAGATGGAAGGAGTTTTTGCTAAAACTGTTGACCGAGCAAAGCTGCGGCCAGATGAAAACCCGCCTGGTCGACACTCCTGGGCTGTAGGTTTTGGAAGCCTGAGCCAGACAGCAGCGAGCGGAGAGTGACATCTCACCGGGGAGAAGTCTCTGTTTTCCCCAGACGTGAGGATGGATGGAAGCACTCTGCCGGTGGAGGAGGGAGACGTCATATCGTTGAGAAGTTCTATCTGTGATTCATGCAGTCCAGTAAACGACTGGCCTGTAGTGATGATTCCTAGGAAAATGTGGCCATGTCACCTGCAGGTGGCAAAGTCCTGCAGAGGCCCTTTACCCTGCCCATTGCCCCCAGGGTCAAGCCTAAGGCACAGAAAGTTAGCTTGGCACAGAAAGTCCTTTACTATTTGGCCCCAGCATCTTTTGTGCTGTCCACCTCCTGTCTTTATGGTCCAGCAATACTGAGTTACTTACAGCCTTCCCAAGCACCAGGCTGATCCCCTGTCTTAAAAGAATCCCCACTCATACTTGAGGTCACCTCCTCCGGGAAGTCTTCTTTGACCTTTCCTAGACTGGGCTAGATGTTCCTTCTCTGCCTCCCTCTTCGAACTGTGAGTTCTGTAAGCACAAGGGTTGTGATTTTTAAATCTTTGATCCCCTACCTCCCAGCACAGGGCCTTCTGGAACTCAGCCCTTGTTTGGGAGCCATCTGGGAACACACGCCCTTAGCAGGCAGGCTCACTCCCCAGGAGGAGGAGGGGGAAAGGGGCTGGGCTACACTTTCCGACTCCCAGTCACATGGCTCCCTCCTTCCCAGCAGGGAGCCGGGAGGAGCCAGAAGCCGAGGAAAAAGATAGGAATGTCGAAGAGTTCACCCGCAACCGGCAACAGAATCACCTACTGCAATTTACACTGTGTTATTGACAAATGAATTTCCTTTCTATGACCTCCTTTCTTTTTCATTTTAATCTTTATTGTATTTTTTCTTATTACCACTTAGTCCCCTGATACCCATCCCCCCAGCTTTAAATAAAACTAATATGTATACGTGGTTTAAAAAAACACTAACAATAGATATAGGCACATCACGAAAAGCAACAATCTCCTGTTCTAACTCCTTCTAAGCCTAGAGGCAGCAATATTTTACTCTTTTAGCTGTTTTTCCCCATGGTTCCTTCAGATCTCTCAAACCGCAGCTGGAGCTATTTCAGGCAGGAAGCTGCTGGTTCCCCGCCCCCCGCTTCCTGGAATCCAGGGCTGCGGTTGGAGTAAGGTCAGCTCCTCCACAGGGCTAGCCAGGCCTGCTTCTCCTGGCCCTTCTGCCATCCTTACCTACTTTTCTGTTTTCTGTTTACGTTTCCTTGTCCACGTACATTTTTAGTTTTTACATCTTGAGAGTGCCTACCCCCTGGTATCCATGCCTTTGTGTGAGTTAGACCTTAGGGCTTGCTTCTAAGGAATAGAGTTTGGCAAAGGGATTGGTAACCTTAATTAGGTTTCCAAAACACTCTGGCTTCTGTCTCACTCACAGTCTCTCACTCTGCTGCTTGCTTCTTCAGAGCAAAGCCCCCTGCCTTGTGGGCTCCGTGGAGGGGCCCACCAGCAAGGAACCGAACCCCGCCAACAGCCAAGAACCATGTGAGTGAGCTTTGAGGTGGACCCTTCCCCTGTCGCCCTGTCGTGCCCTCGGATGAGACACAGCACCAGCTGCCCCCTTACCTGTGGTCTTGCATGAGGCCTTGAGCCAGATGGCCCGGCTCTGCCCAGACCCCCGACCTGTGGAAACTGTGAGATAATACACTTCTGTTTTCCCAAGCTGCTAAATGTTGGCATCATCTGTTATACAGTGATAGGTGATTAATGCATCATCGTGCCATTTTTTTTCTGTTCAGTCATAGAGTTTTTCATCCCCCATCCTAACTGCCCCTTCCCACACCTGTCGGAAAGGAGCAGGCTGGATGTTCCTTCCCTGCCTGGTTTGGCGCTCGTATAATCTCACAAACTGTTATGTGTGTGTGGGCCATTCCATTACTTAGTCTAAATTTTTTTAATCCTCACCAGAGGATATGCTCAGAGAGAGGGAGAGGGAGGGACTTTGATTGGAGAGAAACGTTGATTAGTTGCCTCTTATACGCATCCCCACCAGGAATCGAACTCACACACACCCTTTTGGTGAATGGGATGATGCTCCAACAAACTGAGCCACCTGGCCAGGAGCCACCACTTGTTCTTGAGCAGCATTTTTCTGTTTTCATTTCTGACACAGGCACCGAAAGTGCCCCTAGTGTCTGTCAGAGGCGTGTCCTCCTCCCAGCTAAAAGGAAATCCTAAAGAATCTTGTAGTTTACACAAGCAATTAGCAGGGCTGGCCAGAGCGCAGAAGTGCGCATGCTTCTATTTATTTCCATGGGAACCTGGGACTCAGCTTTAGGGTCCTAAACACCACGGAGGGCTCTGAACAGGAGCACATGCTGCTCCCAAATCCAGGTCCCCAGAACACTGGGCCTGCAAAATGAAAGCGCGTGTGTTTTGAACAAACATCCTGCCTCTCTCGGGCCAAAGGAGCGCTGTTCTTCCAAGTGGATGTTATTCAAGTACTTTCTGGAATTCTTCTTTGCAGATTGCCTGCTGCATTGTCACCCCCAAATATAAGGAACTCCAGGCTTAGCCCTTCAGGCCGTCCTCACTCACTGCCCGCCCTGCTCCCTAGCTCAGGGCCCAACCTGTCGGCATCTCTGGGCCACACAAGAAAAAAAGTTGTCTTGGGCCACACATTAAATACGTGTAACACACAATCACAAAAAAAAAAATCTCATCGTGTTTTAAGTAAGTTTACGATTGTGTGTTGGGCCGCATTCACAGCCGTCCTGGGCTACAGGGGCCCACGGGCTGCAGGTTGGACACCCCGGTGGCCCTTCTCACAGCTTGGCTGGAGCATCCCCTCCTCAGGGCACCTTGCCCCTTCTTAGACCAGCTCCATCCCTGCTGCTGTGTCCCCCCAGGGCGCTCTTCCCCCTTGGATGGCACTTGTCATGAAAAGCTGGAATCATTTCAATCTCATCTCCCACATGCAGACCCAGAGCCCCGTAAGGGCAGGGGTTTTATCTCTCTCACTGTTGCTACCTCTCTGGGGTCTGGGCCCAGCCCAAGCACATGATAGACACTCAGTAAATACTTGTTAAATGGATGAGCAAACAGGCTCTGAAAGCCTGTTGCCTGTTTGCAAAGTTCAAACCCACATTCAAAGGACCAGAGTTTGTCGTCCTTAACAGCTGACACGTACAGGAGCTTCACAAGGGTGCGACAGGGGGCTCCTGCTGGTGCAGCGTCTACTCGGTCCACAGTGTTGCTCCGGGTGGTCCCAGCGCCCTGCTCTGTGGATGGTAGTGTCAGGTCTCGGAGCGGCGAAGTCTGGCCGAAGCCACACCGTTCAGAGGCTGTCCAACTCCAAAGTTTAAATCTTCAACCATTATGCAGTAGCATTTTTTATTAAATGTAAAAGTTTTGGAAGTTTACAAAATACGGATATGTGCAAAGAAAAAAAAAGAATCTAGATCTCCACTGAGCAGAATTTTAACTGAATTTAACATCCTGGCCTCTTTAATCCCAGCATTCTCTTTTTTCCCCCCACCCCCATATTAAGAACATCTAGCAGGAGACTGTGCTGAAGACCCTGAACCCCGATAACCATGTCTAAGGAAAGGCAGAGTGCAGTTTTGCATCAGGCTGGACAGCAGGTAGGCCTGGGGGTGCTGTGGAGATGCCGGTCACGCGGACAGGAGCACCTGGAAAGCAGGGTGTCGAACGCACTGTCACTGGGGGCCGCATCGGCCTCGTGGTTGCCTTCAAAGGGCCGAACGTAACTTTAGGACTGTATACATGTAACTGCTCCCTAACTGTTAAGCAAGAGCTCAGCACTGCTGCCGGGTAGAAACAAGGTGCTGGGCCGGATAAAGCGAGGTGGAGGGTCGGATTCGGCCCTCTGTGCTGTAGATGCTCCGGACCGAGGGCCAGGGGCCCCAGGGAAGGGCAGCACTCCCTGTGCTCCCAGCAACTTGCTTGCATAGGAAAGAGGAAACCTGTCCTCTGTTCTCAGCCTCAGAGCCAGGCTGGCCCCAGGGCCAAGTCCTCCAGGGCGGACACCCAGAGCTGTCGCCCCCTTTAATGGGCCAGCCTGGCTCCTTCAATCATTCAGTTGGGCCTCACCTTCCTAATTGTGTGTGTGATGCAGCCAGTGCACTGAGGGAACAGGCGGTCCCTCGACCTTTGTCACACCCCAGAAGGTGGCACCCCCTCACCCCCTGTACCCACCTCATACTTGGGACCTGCCAAGATCACCATTTCTGTGCAGCAGGTCTGTTTACACTGCTCTCTCCCTGTCAGATCGCAAGTTCCTCAAGGGCAGAGACATCTTTCTGCAGAATTTGCCATATAAATGATACTCAGGTTGATAAATGCAGCCAGACATTAACCATCAGAGAATGAAATGGACAGACATGGTTCAAATTCCAGTCTGCCACATTTTAGCTGTGCAACTTTGGGCAAGTGACTTAACCTCTCTGAGCTTTGATTTATTCATTGGTAAAGCGAGAGCAATATACTCAGAGCTTGATAAGTGAGGACTAAATGGGTTCATATATGTTGAATAGCTTAGCACAGTGGCCAGCAGAGAGCACGCACTGTTTCTAGACCATAGTGGGAGTCACACGAGACCTGGCTTCTGGTCTGAACTTTGCTAGAGTCCTAGAGCATGTTACTTAACCTCCCTGAGGCCCAGCCCCCTCATCTGTGAGAAGGAGGAGACCAAAATAGACACTGGATATGGACACAAACAGGTCCAGCCCTGGGGGCCACCCATCTGGAGAACACAGGGGCAAGAAGCCTAAAACCTTTCTCTTTCCACACAGACGGGTCCACAGTGCAGGTCTCTCTATAAAGACAAAGTGCCCTCCCCTCCTGGGAGCTGAGAGCAATGAGAGAGACAGAGCAAAACGTGCTTCCCTGAGTCCGGATGTTCTGTGATGTTTGTAATTAGAGAGTCACTGGGAACAGGATAGAACCTTGGGAAGGCTAATGGGGAAGCAGTTCAGACTTGGCTGGAATTTTAAAGCAGGCCCACAGGAAGGAATGGGGTGCTCTTGTCTAGGGAGGACAAGGTGGGCTACAAGGAGGGGCTACGGCCCGAGCCAGACTGAGACGGCAGTGCCTGAGTGTCATTTGGAAAAGCCATCTTTGCCCAGCCCCTGCGGGGTCGGGCCCGTTTGTTTGGAGGTAAGCCAGGTCTGTGAGAGCGTCTTCGTGAAGTTGTCTGGGCAGCGGGCATTCTTCATCTTTCACTTCATCTTGTTCAGGTCCTCGGGCCCAAAGGAGTCAGGCAGCAGCTCCTGGACTGAATGGACGACATAGGTGCCATCTGGCTTGGTCATGTAGACGTCCCAGTTGGCGCCAAACTGAAAAGGAGACAAAGCCAGCGTGAGGGAGGCAGAGTGGCAGAGGGGTTAGGACAGGCCTGGGTTTGAGCCTGGCTCCGCCTCTCCTGCCACGACAAAGAACAGCTCACACCTGCTTCCCTTCCTTCCCCACAGCATCTCTCTGATCCTCACAGCCAGAAGTTGCATGCCTGCCTCCTTCCACACGGGACACTGCACCTGCCTGATTTCATCGTCTGTCCTTTGATGTGGGTGCTATTATCACCCCCATTTTACGGAGGAAAAAACCAAGGTTTCGCAGGGTGATGTCAGCAAAGAAGGATTTTAGCCCAAATCTGTCTCCCCATCTTTCCCCCACACTATGAGGAGCTACCACTTGCTTGCTGTGTGACCTTGGGCAAATGACTAATGTCTTTGGGTCTCAGCGTCTTAACCTGTGAAATGGTTTCAGGCAGAGTGAACTAGGCCAGAAGGAAGACAGGTGGAGAGTTAAATCAGCTGTGGCATAGCAGACAGTGTCCTGGAGTGAGAGTCGACAGACCAAGGCTCTACCTGGCCAGGTGTGGTGAGGATTACCGGTGATGGGTGTACAGCGCCTAAACACAGTGCCTGGCATACAGTAAATAAAGGCTCAGTTATTAGAAGCTATTTCTACTGGTTGCTAGCAGTTGCTCATGAAGGCTCAGGTTTGCAGCCTGCTGTTTGCACACGTCTGTCTGAATCTCCAAGTTATGACCAGGCACAATCAGTCTTCTTGCTTTTTAAAATGAATGGGCTTGGCAGGCTCTGCCTGAGGACATGGATGAAAGTTGAGTGACTTAAAGTGCCAGGCCCCTGGCCCCAAGCTTCATCTGTTGTTAGTACTTTGCTTTCAGTGTTGCCTCTCCCCACTTCAGCCTTTTCCTTTCCCTTCTCCCATTTGCCAATATCTAATCTGCTGGGAGAAAACAGCAACGTGCAATTGGACTGGGTCAGGCTGCAGGAGCCAAGGACCTAATGTCCCCGATGTGGTTTCCTTATATGGCCTCCAACCTGCCGTACAGCTGGGCAGCCATTTCTGTCCCAGTGAGATGAGGTCCAGATTGCGAAATCAGCGCCTTCCTGGTGGCGTAAGGTCAGAATGAGGTCACCGGTCACCAAGAGGTCACTGGTTCGATTCCCAGTCAGGGCACATGCCTGGGTTGCAGGCCAAGATCCCCGTTGGGGGCATGCGAGAAGCAACTGATCGATGTATCTCTTACATGATGTTTCTTTCCCTTTCTTTCTCCTTCCCTTCCCCTCTCTCTAAAAATAAATAAATAAAAATCTTAAAAGAACCCACCATGGAATCCACTCTTCCATCTCTAGAGCTGAAGAATTTCAGGCCTTCCCTCAAGACTGTCTTTGTAAAAAGTACATCAGATCCCTTCAGTCCCTTCTTAAAAGCATCCAATGAATTCCCCGATCCTTTTTTTCCCCAACTTTTGTTTTAATGTCCTAAAATATACTAACATAAGATTTATCACTTTAACCATTTTAAAGCGTACAGTTCAGTCCCCTTTATTCTTGGAATGAAATATACCCTCCATCCCATGGCCTACAAGACCACGTGTGATCTGGCCCTGCCCGTCTCCGAGACTTCACGTCTTGTCACTCGCTTCCCCCTCAGTCACTGTGTTCCAGGCTCCTTGACCTTCCTGTGACTTGTCAAACTCACCGAGGGTCTGGGCATTAAACTTGCTGGATCCTCCACCTGGAAATCTCCTTCTCTAGACCCCTGTCTGCTTCACCCTTTCTCACTATCTGTATCCCCACTCAAATGCCGTCTTCAAAGAGAGGCCCTTCCTGGCCACCTAAAGCAGGGGATGGCAAACTTTTATCCACAAAGGGCCAGACAGTACATATTGCAGGCCTTGCGGGCCATAGGGCTCTGTTGTAATGGCTCACCTCTGCTGTGGTCGGGCGAACGCAGCCAGGGATCGTCTGTGAATGAATGGGCGTGGCTGCCTGCCGGTGGAACTTCAACAGCTGCTTAATAGAATAACTAGCCGTGGGCTGGATCTGCCCCTGGGCTACCGTTTGCTGGCCTCTGACCCCGATCTAGAGTGTTACCTGCTGTTCCTTCTGTCACTGTTGACTCCTTTTTCTGGGTTCTTCTCCCAGTAGCCCTTCTCACTCTCAGGGACCCTATTGCTTATTGTTTTCCTCCTTACTTATTGCTCACCCCCTGCACTAGACTATAAAGTCTGTGGGGGCAGAGCCTGGCCTCTCTTTCCACGGCTGTCTCCCCAGAGTGAGGAGACACGCAGTAAGTATTGTTGAATGAAAGAACAATTCCCAGTCACACACGCATGCAAGCAAGCTCAGAAGGCCTTTGCAGTCAGCCGGGCAAGCAAACGGGACCGTGGCTGCGGCTTCCGCACTGTGGCTTTGCTCACAGAGCCTGGGGAGAGCAGGGGGGCATTCAGGCCACATCCCCAAAAGAAAGAGAGCTGCTTACCTCTCTCATGACTTGCCTGCAGGACCCACAGGGTGAAATGAAATCATCTTGCAAGTCGCTAGGGAGGCAGAGAAGCAAAAAGGGTCAGCCTTTCCTCAGACTCAGGCCAGCTGCTGATGGGCAGACATGCTGTGTCTTGGAAGCTGCAAAGCAGTGCTTGGCAGTGCTTGCCACACTTGCAACAGGCAAGGCCAAAAGTGGGACCATTCATTAAAAATTTTTTAATGTTTAGTATTGTTTCCCTTACCATTTACCCCACCCCCCTGTACCCTCCTCCACCTCTACCCCCACCCCCACCGAGGACCACTGTATTCATTAGTGCATTTAACAAACATTTAGTGGGCACTGAATAGTCACCCATACCCTAGGGACACAAAGGGTAAGGAAAGTTTGTCTCTGGCCTTCAAGGGATTGTTCAACTCAATGTGTGACATAGAAAACTGTCATTTTAAGCAAAATGCAGTAAGAGTGCCTGGTAAGAGGGAGACAGTCTCTCTCTGCCTACAGAGGGAGAAAATATTTTACAGAGGAGATGGCATTTGGCCCGGTCCTCGGCAGAAGTGTAGAGTTCGTAAGTCACCATTAATGAGCACCTATTATGCTGTGTATCAGGCACTCAACATACATTATTTATTATTTCATTTAATTCTCGAAACAAGCTGGGTGTCACAATTTTACCCGAGAGGAGAGACGTTCAGGGAGATCAAGTAACTGGGGTGCTGTTCTGAAGCCCTGGTTTCCCTGTGTTGCAGGCCAAGAAAATAGCATGTGCAAAGGCCCCGAGGCATGAAAGAATAAAATGCACATGAGTTGAAGGGAAAGCTGGGCTCTCTCTGCATTTGAGAAAGTCTGGAGGAGAGAAGCCTACAACCAAAGCTGTTTCAGAGTTAAGGCACCTGCAGGCAGTGCTCCAGCTCCAAACTGTCCAGAGGGTGGCACTTAAGGAAGCTGGGCTCGACTGGAGGGAGCTCCAGGCCTGCTGGAGCCCCAGAGAGTCAGCCAGCAGCCCCTGCCATCTCTGCTCCTCTAAACCGATAGCTCTGTGATGTCCCGGAAGATTATGGGGATTCCCAAGTTGGCTCTTGGTTAGCTCCTCCTTTCGCTAATTACATGTGACTTTGACCAGATCTTTTTAACCCATGCAAGGCTTGCTTCTTTGTCTATAAAATTGGGCGATTAATGTCATCCACTTTGTAGGAATGCTAAAAGATAAAATGAGACAAGGTGTGCAAAGGACTTTGTAAACTTTAGAATTTACAAAGAATGCTAAATTAGAATGCTATACACATGCTCTCATTGCCTACACTAGTTACCAGGCACATATTTCTTTAAGCTCTGTCATTATTTCAGTCTCTTATCATATCAAGGGTTTGCTGTGGTTTGCACTGACCTTTGTCACACACTGACGCCATGTTTGCCAGACCTGACAGGCTGGAAACTTACTTTGATGACTACAGCTAGGACCCCAGGGGCACGGGCTTATCTCCCCATTAGCAAAATCCCTTTCTGGGCTCCCAGCTCCCTACCTCACAGATCTCCAAGGGGCTCTTCTGCACTGTTCACAGCTTTAACAAGGGGGCTGGCGCTTCTCATTCATTCTCTAAACCCCTCCCTTTAACACACTGTTAATGTAATAATGACTGCATTTCTGGCTCAGGGATGCAGGTGTGGGCTGCATCCTGGGAATAGAGCAGTTGGGTGCTGGAAAACTGCAGGTTTTATGTGAATAAGGACATTTGTGCCTTGGCCACTAGCAATAAGCAATCATGTTTAAAAGTAAGTAATGACCATGAGAAAACGCCTTTCACTGGGAACCTTCTAGGCAGGGGAAGGCCACCATGCCATTAACCTTTTGTTGACTTTGGCCTCTTTTCCCCAGAATATCATTATTTTCTCGGATCAGCTTTGAAATTGAGCTATTTTCTTCTTTCTTTAAGAAAAATAATAAAGTGTGATTCACATCCTGTTTATCTGCACAAAATGTTCCCGGCACAGCCTCATTTATTCCGCCCAGAGCCGAAGGGAGCCAGGAGACACCTCGGTCACAGGGAGGCTCTGGGAAGCGGGGGCCCCTCTCCATTCACGGCTCCAGTCACTCAGGAGGAAAACCTTCAGTAACCGGGTCCACCTCGGGGCCAGACAGAGGCCACATTCAGAACTTTATAAAAGGAATGGGGGCTTGTTTCTGTGAACATCCCCCACTGTCCTTGCTCTAGGTCCTTACGTTTCTGCCAGAAAGGTCCTGCAGCGTCCCCACGATGAAGAGAGAATTCGTTCCCGCTGCACAACCCATGCAGCCAAGCATCCTGAAAGACCAGCACTCAGTCAGCCGTGCAGTCTCTTTCCCACGCCATTGTCCCTGCACCCGTATTTTGCTAAGAAAATGCTCTCACAGACAATGCAGAAGGACACACGTGTGTGATTCACCATTAAATCAGAAGTATAGTAGGGTCCAAATTAGTCAAAGAGCCCATCCATGTACTCAAATCCCAAAGCCCCGAGTCTGGGCCCAGGGCTGAGAACTCAGCAAGCTCCAGAAACTTGGACAGTTACATTCAGGGTGTGTAGCATGTGTTGATTAGTGCTCTTGTCCAGCCAGAATCTGGACAGGAATCTCCTTACTTGGAACCATAACCCAGGTACACCTGGCTGTCACCCCGCCAGCTTGTTGTGTCTCCTGGTTCTTGGCACTTAGAGGTGAGTGTATTCAAGTGGAGGAGTCACCTTGCAGAGTGATGGGTCCCAGTGTCAGCTCAAGGTGAGCCGGGAAGAACATCTGACTCCCCAGCACAGCCTGACGCAATGGAAAGAGCCCTGAGGTGAGACTCTAGAGATCTGGTTTTGTGCTGGTTCTGCCACTAACTTCCAGGAAAGTTGTCTAACCTCTCTGAGCCTCAGTTTCTTTGGCGTAAAACAGGGGTAGTGACCACACAGTCTAGGCGGCCAGGTAATTTTTAGGCCCCTCCTGTTTTAGGTTGTGATGCTGATTTTCTGTTGCATCTTGGAGGGATTCTGAGCACTTCGTGCTGTCAGAACACAAAGACAACTTGCCCTTGTAGAGTTGCCTTGGCTGTGGATTGCTCCGTAGGCTCACTGAGGGCAGAGTCCATTTCTTATTTACCTCCTTATCCTCAGCACTCAGGCCAGAGTCCTCCACAGGACCCGTCACTTAGGAAGTGCAGAATAAACATGTTAGATGAATGAATGGATGAATAACAGGTGCATGGCAGACGATGGCTGAGCAGATGCATGAATATGGCTGTGACGCGGCTTTCCCACTCACCTGGCGATAGCAATTGCCTTAAAATCTTTGTGCCCTTCTGAGACAGCCTTCTGGATAGCTATCCGTTCAGCACAGACGCCCAGTGGGTAGACACAGTTTTCTACGTTGCACCCTGAGAAGAGAAGAGAACTCAGTGGTATTTCCAGCAGAACCACTTCCTACCATGTGTGCTAAGTAAGAGGTTTGCCCCATTCCAGTGAAGAGAGGGATCTGTTACCGAGAACGAAGTGGAAGGAAGGAGAGGGCGGTTTGACCCAAACCACTGGGAAACCATGGCCCACTGGCACAGTGGCCCTCCCCAAGAACCTCCCACTCTCACCACTTACCCAATGCCCCCATCTTGAAGCCCAGCCTAGGAGCGGGGCAGGAAAACAGGGCACATTAACCCAGCCTCATCTCCCTGGCAGAGGTCAAGGCCAAGGGAGAAGCTGAGGCTTAAGAACGGGAACATGGTCCCCAGCCCTGGATGTAGGAGACAGAAGCCATGGGGGCGGGGAGGTGGGAGTGGTCGGCCTGCACAACATTTTTGGTGCTGGTTACCAGCCATCAGGGTTCAGCTAAGGTTCTCTGTGAGCTGTGTTGCAAAACCAACTGTCAAAACCAACAAACAAAACACTGATACGCTGTGCAAAGGGTGTGTCTGTGAGTGCGCAAGCCCTAAGGCAGCCATGCAGGAGTGCTCTCCAGGGGAGGGGGGGTGGGGGTGGGGAGCGCTCAGGCGGCACAGCTTACAGGAAGGGAGTCCTCCCCAGTGCCCCTCTCAAGGGTGACAATGGACAAAACAATGGTGTAGCCAGGTTGGCTGACTAAGCAACTTCCATTTCAAGAAGGTTTGAGACCACAAATCGCACAGGGTCTGGGCTTTGTCTGTGAGACAGGGTTCTCATTCCTCAGTTCTCCTTTCTTCCTTCCCCGTGCCAGTAATACAAATGACGCCCATTCTGATATGGTGGAGGATAGAGTCCCTAGATGCCCTTGGAGCATAGTGTTGCCACGTGACCAAGTTCTGGCCAATGGGATGTGACTCAGCGGGATCACACTTGTTTTTGTAGAGACTACTGGCGTGGGGCAGGACACATCTGCCCACATGGTTTATTGTCATAGGGATGAACTGCAATGAGACAGAGGGAATTTGGAGCAGAGTTGCCTATTTGCCCCGGACCAGCTGCCTACTCTAAATTTTCATGTGAGAGAAAAAGATTTGTCATGTTTGAGTCATTGTATTTGGGGACTTTTGTTGTAGTAGCTTAACCTATACTTAACAGAAATTTATGTTGAAAGCGAGATGCAGCTGAAACAAAGAAATCGAAAACCTGTGGCCTTGGCCTAGCGGTTGGGCATGTGAACGAACTACAGACACAACAAAGTGGAAGCCTGGTGCCCTGCATCCTCTGCGACATGTCATTTGTAAAAAAGCCCCACGATGCAATACCCTGGAAGGCAGGCCATGTCACCTACCTACCACCAGGATTTCTCTACTTGGCACCAGAAATCCACTCTGTGGCAAAGAGCTGATTAAGGGGTTCATCTGCTCATCTGTTTTGGGCGCCTCAAGGTAGCCACCACTAAACGAGGCAGCAGGGATAGGCCAGGCGGGGAAACCAGTTAGTAAAAAAAAAAAAAAAAAAAAAGGGTTGGCAACTTAGGGACTGAGCCCAGAAAGGACGGTTGTGTGTGACACTACCGTACGAAGGTGGCGTCAAGCAAACAGACCAGAAGGTTTCTAAATTTTTGATGGATTTAGATAGCCAAAGAAACCAAAAGTCTGGTCTCCAAAAAAGCCTGTGATTGTTCCATCCCTCGGGAACCCCCGGTCCCCCAAAGAGCCCCCTCAGAAGTGAGCTGAGTGCCGTGTTCCCCTAAGGAGGACGTTCTCTCCCACACCCATTTCAGAAGTGTGGCCAAGAGTGTAATGATCAAGGAAGACGCTCCCTGAGAGCCATGGGGGTCCAGCGGCAAAGACCATCCCTCGTGTTCACTCTCCCAGTAGGATGCACTGGAGTTTAGGTCGGCACATGGGCACCCAGTGGAGACTCTATTTCCCAGCCTCCCTGGAAGCTTCCTGTAGTCCTATAGTTTTAGCCAATGGGATATGAGTGGAAGTAATGGGTGTGGCTTCTAGACGACATCTTCCTGGGAACATTGCTTGCCCCTACTTCATCTTTCCCTTTCCCAGGGGCTGGGACATGGATGTGATGGTGTGTGCCAGTTTCAAGCACATGGAATAAGACAGCACTCTGCAGATGGCAGAACAGTGAGACAGGAAGGAACCTAGTGGAGCAGAGCAGAGCGGTCCACGTGCCCTGGACTCCAGCCCATCCCTGGTCTGTTACGTGGGACAGAGACAAGCAGCCATCTTGCCCTAGTCACCGTATTTGTTTGCTTCATCAGCTTGTTCTGTTTCTTACCTATCACCCTCTCTTTTCCTAGGTCTGAGTCTGAGTCATGGTTAGGTAGCATTTTGTTCCTCCTGCAGTCCACAAATTTGCAAATTAGCTGGTCATTATCTCCTATTCTCCTCACATAGTTTCCTGGCTCTTCATTATTTATACCGACAAGCTAGGAGTTAAATAAATCACTGAGATCATGAACCATTATTGCGACTCTCAGGAGCAAAGGCACTTCTGTCCCACTGATGGATCGGAATGGCTGTCACTAGACAGCCTGCCCCTCAGTGTGGGGGCTTTGGGGCCATCTCCTGGGGGGCTGAGTATAAGTGTGTTCACTCACAGTTGTGCAGGGGATGGCCGTGTGGTGTTAGGTGCAGACCAGTTTGGAATTCTACTTTTGGAAAAAGGCAGATGTGCATACTGGTCACCCAAGGGTAGGCTATAGTGAGCCTGTATTAGTCTGACAAGTTAGCGCCTCTTCTTCCTCCTTTTTTTCCTGGGGAATGAGCCTCACCCCATTCCTTCGCATGTAGTTCAAACGCGGGCTGCCATCTTTTCTCACATTACCTTTTTATTGGTCTGAAGATGAGCACCTGACCCACACTGGGCCAATCAGAGTTCTTCCCTGAAACTAGGAATGTGAGAGCCTGGCCCAGGGGGACGGCCTGGTTTCCTTTCATTATGGAGGAGACAAAAAAGTGGATGCTCCGAGGAATGGATAAGAGATGAGATGAGAGATGACTACAAAAGAGTCTGGCTTGGTGTATGTTGCTCCTGAGGCCCAGCTACCTTTCGACTCTTCCCACAGGTCATGGGAGAAGGCCCGCCCTCCCAATAGGCCCTCCCTCCTTTGGTCTAACATAATTTATGTACATTTCTATCATTTGCAACCATATAGACACCCATTAATACAGTGGGGATACAAGACAGGAAGTGATCAAGGCGCCGCAACCCTGGAAACCGTGGTTAACATTTATTGAATGCCTACTTTGGCCAAGCATACGTGCGTGTTCACTTTGTGAGTCACTGTAGCCGGGATAATAGGCACCATATTGCTCAGCCTCTCAGCTGGGTCCATGAAAGTTAGCTTTGGCTGGTGTGGCTCAGTGGATTGAGTGCCGGCCTGGGAACCAGAGTCACTGGTTCCATTCCCTGTCAAGACACATGCCTGGGTTCCAGGTCAGGCTCCCAGTTCAGTTGCGGGCACTCAAGAAGCAACCAATTGATGAATCTCTTGCACATTGATGTTTCTCTCCCTCTTTCTCCCTCCCTTCCCCCTCTCTAAAAATAAATAAATAATTAGGAAAAAAAGCTAGTAAGCAAACATGTCTCTCTTGCACACCCCGGCCTGCCCATCCATTCCCACCCTTCCCAACTTTACTGCATTTTGACATCACTACATTTGACTTCTCCCTCCCCAGATTAAGATCTCTGCCAGCCTGTGTAGCCTCCTGGCCCTGCCTCATTGAGACTCTCGCTATTGGGTTTGGAAGATGCGCAGTTAAAGCAAATGGCTTTAAAGCAGATTGCAGAAGGTCTGGTGTCTCAGGACAATTGCTTGTGCCTGAGTTTCATGCTCAGAATGCCCTCACGTGGAGAAATCTTCCTTCACTGTATGTAAAAACTGTAAGGGGCCAGTTAAGGGGAGCGAGAGACTGTTTTAGAAGGGCGGGCTCACATACCCCACTGCTCAAGCTGAGCTGTGTGGAAAGAGCCCCTAGGCTACGTTTTACCCTGGGACCCTGTGTCCTACTGGCTCCGAGAATTTGGGAAATGGACTGAACCTCCTTGAGACTCAGTGCCCTCATTTATAAAATGATAACGACAGAGCCTTCCTTCCTCATAGGCCTCTCAGAGGAATGAGTTGAGATCAGGCATGTAAAGCAATTAGCATAAAGTGCGCCCACAGTAAGGGCTGGCCGCTGGCAGCTGCGGTGATGTACTGCATGGAAGTCAAGGGTTTGGTGGTGGTAGGCCTGTGATGTTGAGCTTTTGCTCCTTCTAGACCTTATGTGACAATGACTCTGTTTCTGTCCTTCAGGCACTTTGCAATATAATCACAAGGCTCTGTGTGACCTGCTGCCAACCTGTCTGTCTCTGGGACCTCATCTCCTTTTGCTCTCCAGGCCGACTGGCTTCACAGCTGCTCCCCGAGGGTGCCCAGTACTCTCCTGCAGCGGGGCCTTTGCACCGGCTGCTCCCTCTGTGCACAGGGCTCTCCTTCCTCAGGTCTCGGCTCAAATGTCACCTCCTCGGAGAAGTCTTCCTTGATCAGCCCATCTACAATAGCTTCCTCCACCAACCGCCTCTAATCCTCTCAAACCTGTTACACTGCTTTGATTTTCTTCCTCATAGCATGCAGCACTTCCCTGCAATGGACGTCATCATTACCTACTTTCCCCCATGACAGTGGGAACCTCTGTGGTCAGGGACTTGTCTGTGCACTGCGGTGAGCCCAGGACCTGGAACAGTGAGGCGGTGAGGCTCTCAGTGACTAACAGATGAGTAGAATTTCCCACTTCAGTGCTAGAGCTCTGAAATACAAAGGAAGAACTGTATCTGGAGCCTCCAGCAAGTTTGTTTTGCTGTTAAGGAAAAAAAAAAGAGGAAGATAGCCCTCAGCCACTCACTACCATCCTGAAAGACCAGGCAGTTTTGTTTTCCTCTTAAGCCCATAAAACAGGCTGTGACAAACCAGGACACAGATAAAGAAAATCACTGGTCGGCAGATAAAAGGATGTTGGGAAATTGTTGGACTGCAGCTTTTATCTGATTAACCCTTTTCCTGAGTCCTAAATCCCTTCCCTACCCTTTTTGGCCCCTTGATAAGAAAGGCTGGCTTGAAAGGAGAGGGAGGCCGGTCCATTAGGGTACCAACCCTGTCATCTTCCCAGGCCTCTGGCCATCTGAATAGAGTGCCCATAAAGATTCAACCCCCGTCTCTGCTTACTGGGTCTGGTAGGTGGCAGGCAGCCCAAACGCCAGCCTTTCCAGTCTCAGTTCTTGCATTTGAGCACGTGGGCATAAGCTAAAACAGATTTCTGAGCCCCACTGCTGGAGTTTCTGCTTCAGTGGGTCTTGGTTGGAACCCAAGAATTAGAATGTCTAACGAGCTCCCAGGAGGTGCTGAGGCTGGGGGTCCTGAGACCCCATTTGAGAATCATAGGACTAGAGAAATGTCATGTCCATGTGCTTGATGAAATATAACTCTATGTTCCTGCCTCCCTCTATACCAAAAATGTAACGTACTGTAGTTTTATGTGGGAATAATATTCTAACTCAACTATAGAGTTAGGGGTGGAGGGTTAGCGAAGCTCTTCTTGGTAATAAGCCACTTTTGAGTGGCAGTGGAGAGGGCCAATGGGCGAGCCTGAGGTTCACACAGAGGTGGGGGTAAGTGGGTAGTGGGGTGTGGTAGGCAGGCAGGGCTGTAAGGAGAAGAAGCCAGTAAGAAAGCCTGCTTTGACTCACCTGTAAGTGCTGTGGGTGGGTTTGGGGGTTGGGGGGAGGGACTGCAGTTGGTCAGCCACTGTGGGGAGCGGGTGACATAAAGCACCAAAGAGAGGTCCAGGAGGAGATATGAGCCCAGGGAGGGAACCAGGAAGCCAGGGGCAGAGCGGGGAAGACAAACGAAGCATCAGCTTTCGGCGTTAAGCCTGGGCAAGCCGGATTCGGAGGTTCACCAGGACACCCTTAACTGTCTCTCTTTATATGATTTGCTCCTCCCAGAGCTCATTATAGATGACCCATAAAGTGGCACCCTGCATGACGATGGATGGGTATATCGAGTGCTGAAGTTCCTCTAGAGAGAGGAGGAAAGGGAGAGCTAGACCACTGCCCCAAGGGCGTGAGCTGGAGAGGACCCCCTTCCCGTTGGGTGGTGCCAGCAAAGAGTAGACCTCCACGACTCTCCGCTGCCCACCCCCACCGGCGTCCCACCTCAGTGCCGCTGCGTGCTGACTCCATTTCTCTCGCCCAAAGCCCGTTCTGTCCCATCTTAACACTTCTGGCGTCCTCAGCTCCCTCCCAGCCATCACAGAAGGCGACTGGCGTAGTTGTTAATCACCATCCTGGTGGCCCATCTTCGAGGGGCACAAGGCCCCGGCCAGGGCTGGCGGTGATAGAGAAAATGATCATTACGAGATCATGACAGCAAGGCCGGCTCTGCAGCCAGCATCGCTTTTGAACTGGGCGGGACACTTTTGTCCATGTGGCGGCTATGACATTTTAAGGGAATTTCCATCCCAAGTGTTTCGTGAGTGCTCAGTGCATCGTGTCTACTAACATGGCAGTCGGTCCTGCCCACCATCTCCCCGCACCACCCGGCTCTGCCTCCAGCCTCCTGCCTTAGCCAGTCTGCCTCATCATCCCCCCATTCATGGGGCTGGACACCCGAGGCCCACATTTCTTTCCTCCATTGCCAATATGGCCCATCCCAGGCTTTGTTTGTCCCACATGGCAGCTCCTAGATCTTCCCTTCCTTTTCATTCCCCCTGGTGCTTCTCTGGTCTGAGCCATTCATTTGTGAGTTCACCGAACCTTCACCGAGGACCTATCTCAGGTCAGGCAATAAGGTGGCCTGTGGACCAGTCAGCAAACAAGACAGACGTGGTCCCTCGTGCCTCCTTCTTCTGCCCCACCCCCCCTTGAGTGCCCGTCAGACCAATTGTCCTCAAACACCAGTTTCACGTCACTCTTCTTAATAACATTTCTTAATTCCTTACGTCCTACCTCATCAAATCCAGTGTCTCTACTCGGCCTTCAGAAGTCCCCCACAATCTACCTCCAAACTATCACACCATCATCATTCATCAGACCAGTACTAGCTGCAGTCGAAGCAGCCTCCATCTGTGAATGCTTACTCTGGGCCAGAAACTGCCAATCACTTTATGGGCATTTGCTCATTTAAAGCCTCACAGCCAGGGGTGAGTTTCCATGTGGTCAGTGACCTGTAAAGCACCGGTGCCAGCAATCAGAGAGGACCTTGGCTGCCCCACTGGGCCAGGCAAACCAGCACTGTTCACAGCCACCCGGAGAGGTGGGCATTGGGATCCCCCATGTACAAATATAAGCTGAGGTTCTGAAGGGTCAAGGGTCTTGCTCAGGGACGTGTGGCTGGTAAACAGAGCACCAGGATTCCAGTCCAGGAGCCTCTTAACTCCAGAGCCTGTAAGCCCACCCCAGAGGGCCTCCCTCAATCCCCACTTGCTCTAGTGGCACCAGGTCCTTCCCTGCCATTGAAATAGTCGACACTCCTGCTCCCCTCACTTACTCACTCCCACACTCACTGGTTGTGGCCCTCGCTTTGAGCCTGTGCAAGCAGAGGGGACCGCCATGGGGGCAGGGACTATGCCGTTTCGGCTCACTGCGCTGCCCCCAGCACCTGGTACATTACTTAGCACATAATTGGCAAATATTTGTTGAGTAGATGAATCAATGCAAGGGTGAAGAGGGGCTGTGGAGGCACTGGAAAGAAACTAGTGGCTGATTCATGGCAGCGTGGGACGGCAATGGTGTTTGTGGCGGTGGCTACTGTTTAATACTCATCTGAGCCACTAGGCCAGCCTGAATGTCCACACAACACTCCATGTTTTTTTATTCTCTACAGAGTAGCAGACTTCGAGAGTCAGGGGAACTCTGGGTTTGAATCCCAGCTCTGTGAGCCTGGGCATTTAGCCTCGGGAGCCTCTGTCTCTTCCTTTGTTTGCAAAGTGGTGCTACGGTAACTGCCCTGTGGTTGTGAGGGTGAGGCAGACAACACTCCTCACTGTCCCTTCACACACCCCAGGTCACTCACCCCAGGTCACTTTTCCTGCTCCGAGGTGTTTAAGACCCAAGGAACTCATGACCCCTGCACAGAAACTCAAAAGACAAGAAATAACATATGAGAGCTCAGAGGGGACAGAAGGGGACGTCAGCCTCAAGCTGGACCCACAGCTGAGTGGTGGAGCAGGTGAGTGGCTCACGCTGGGACTGGTAGGGGGGGTACGGATCAGGTAGACAGATGCACCTTTGCAGGCCTCTAGCCCTTTAATAGCTGCTCCAAGCCACAGAGGAATTCTAGGCAGCAGGACGGCGCCTGCCCTTCTGACCCTTGGTGCCCATTCTGCCCTCGGGCGTCTTTCCCTGCCAACGCCACACCCTCTTCCTCCCCTGCGGTCCTGACAGAGAATGCCCCTGGCTGAGAAAAATCAAGTCTGTATTTTTGTTTAAGGGAGCTTTTCTATCAAACCAACAAACCCAAGAAAAAGAGCTAGGGACAGATTAGTGCCACCTCGGGGACTCCTGTCCCCACCTCCCCAGGCTGGCACTCACTGCTGCAGGCAGACTGTGCCTGGCTTCTTACCCCCAAGACCCTCCGCACCCCATTACCAAGTCATCCTGTCTGGATTCCTTGCTTCCCCTCCCTCTGCCACCCCCAAACACGGAGGGTGGCAAGAAGAAATCAGGGTTTGGGGGACCCCAGCCCTGGGTTCTGCCTCCAGTGCTCCATGTGACCTTGCACAAGCCAGGTCACCTCTCTCGGCCTTGGGTTTTCCACTGAAAAGTGGGCGTGACACCTGGGCTTTGAGCCCAAAGTGAGGACTTGCTGATATAACTTGTGGAAACCTTAGCAAGGGCGGGACCCAGAGGGGGCCTTGGAGAGGACTTCCGCCCTCCCCCCCCCAGCACACAGCACACAGCACTGCCGAGGCTCTCTCTCCTTTCTCGGCTTCCGCCTCCAGCTTCCTTCCCCGTCCCACCTCCCACTTCCCAGTCTTTCAAGAATCAAAAACCCCTAGATTTGAGCGCCACCTTCACCCCACAGTCTGGGGCGTTAGCAGGGTAGAGGCAAACAGCATTATAGGGGAGGCTCAGCCAAGAGGGGCCGGACCTGGGCTCCTCTCCTCTGGAGACCCCCGCCCCTCCCTGAGTATCCTGCTCTCGCCCCCAAGGCTGTCGTGGTTGGGAAGCCTTAACACCCTCCCTCGCCCTTACCGGAGAAGATCCTCTCGTCCTTGGTGAGGACAGCAGCCCCCACGGGGAAGCGACTGTAGGGACAGTAGGCAAACTTCTTGGCCTCGTGGGAGCAGAGCACCAGTTGCTGGATGCTCTTGGGATCCAAGGCAGAGGCAGGAGGCACCTGGGCCATGTTGGTGCCCAGGGATCAGCAGAAGAGCAGAGAAGGGAGCTCTCAGCTACGCTGGGCTGGGACCTGCTATGAAGTCAGCTCCTCCTCTAGTGTGTGACCCTGCCCAGAGGCTCAGCTGGGACCTGCTATGAAGTCAGCTCCTCCCTTGGGGTGTGTCCCTGCTTAGAGGCTTGGCTGGGACCTGCTGTGAAGTCAGCTCCTCCCCCAGGGTGTGACCCTGCCAAGAGGCCAGGCTGGGACTGATATGAAGGCAGCTCCTCCCTGGGGTACGTCCCTGCCTAGAAGCTCCCAGGCGTGCAAGTCTAGAAAGGCCAAGTTCCAAGGGCTGAAAACCTTGTTTGTTGAATGACTTTTTCTCTTCTTCACTGAGGGGAGGAATGAAGCGAAAGGGCAGAACTGGGGCAGCTACACTGGTTCCTTGAGTCAGGAAGTGAGACCAAGCTACTTCTCTATTTTCACCCATTATTCTTCCAATTCATCTCTGTCACAACCCCGAATGAAAAGGCATTTTAGCTGGAGGGAACCTCTGAGGTCATCTCTCAGGCAAAACAAACAGTGGGTTGGTGATAAATGAGTTTGTGTCCTGGCTTTACCACGTTCCACGTGTACAACTGCCCAGGTTACTTGACCTCCCTGTCTCAGTTTCCTCCTGTCTACGGTGGGGATGTGTTGGGAACCTCTCTGCCTGGTTTCAGGAGTTGTAACCGCCCCCCATGGCTAAGGCTGAGTGAGCGACCTCCGGAATGCGAGCCACTAAGGAGACAAAGCTTATCTCCCTGCTGGCAGTGCTGCCCCTGCTTCATCCATCTCTGCCCCCAACGCTTGGTTGGTTAGTCAGTGACAGGTAAGACCCCTCAGGGGGGGGGGGGCAACCTAAGCCAGACACGATCACTTGGGAGGCCCTCAAGGAAGTCCTGAGTGGGGGTGCTGCGACAAAGAGGGAGTGATGGACCCTCGCCCCCCAGCTATTCTGACATAACCTGAGTCCCCATTTCCGTCTGGGAGAAGCGCTTCCTGGCTCTAATCCACTTAAGCCTAAAAACCTATGATGGGGAGGGCAGTGCAGCTCTCTGCAGGCCAGAGTGGTTCCAGATGATCAGGCCTAAGAAAGAATATGTAAAATCCTGTGGAACCTGCTTTGTTTAGAATGTTCTCATTTAAATGATTAAGAGTCCCAGCAAGAAGTTTGTTCCTCAAAGTTTTATGGCTCTTTAGCTATCTGACCCTGACTGAGAATAAGCCCTCCTAGTTCTTTGAATGCTATCTATTGTTTGATCCTTACCTGTATTTTTGTGCAAAATGAACCCAGTAAAAGCCCATTGAGGAAAAGGCCCTTGGTCTTTCTTCTGTGCGAGACTGACCACCTTTCCTCCCCAAGCACATCATGTCTTGGCAGTATTATTTTCATCCGTGGCAGATGGGGGGATTTGCAGGCAAAGTTGCCCCCACACCTTGGCATACAACAGACCCTACTTTGCATTCCAGTTCCACCATAAGTTGGCCACATGACCTTGGGAAGTCGATGCCACCTCTCGAAGTCACAGTTTTCCCCTTCTTTCCAGTGGACACACTAGGGGCATCTTGCAGAGTTGTCATGAGGACCAAATGAGATGATGTGTGTTCAGTGATGGTGACCCTGGGACATCAGGACATGAGCACTGGATTCTGTGAATCCAGAATCGGATTATGGTCCTTCAGTGACTCGGCTAGGATTACCCAGGAAGAGCAGGACACCAGTTAGGGTGTCCAGAAGCATCCAAACGTGCCCAGACTCCCAGCAAGCAGGAGTGAATTGGTGGTTTCTCTGAGGGCTCGGGTAGGGGTGGAGAAGGGGAAGGGAGGAGGGCAGTGGGCTGGGGAACAAGAGGCAACATCTCGGTGTCCTGTATGCTGACACCTCTGTATTCTGCAGCCTGGCCCTCTTGGCCTCGGCCTGGAGCTCTCAGCCACATGGAGACTAGGCTGGGCCTCCGTAGAGCTGGGCCAGTTGGCTTTACTTCCTCCCCCACTCCCAACCCTACCCCCTTCTTTACATACATCAAGGGGAAGGAAGCAGCTGGCTCCTCCCAGTACTGTTGCATTTTCTTCTTGTGCCTGTACCTTCGGCATCTAGACTGGCTTCCTGGATCTGAGGCAGGGCTGGCAGGGGATTTCCCCCCCCCGCCCCCCATCCCTGCACTACCCAGGCTTCCCAAAGGCCCTTCCCCCAAAGCTGCAGGAGAAGAGGTGAAGGATGTCCTGGGACTGTGTGTGCCCAATCGATGTGGGAATAATTCTAAAGCTTTTGGGGACCAAGTATAATGACAACTGAGAAGAGGATTGTAGGGCCCTGCTGGCCTGCCAGGCGTGTGAGACAACTCCACAAGCAGCCTGCTCCTGCTCCCTGGCCTGGTCTTGACCCACACCAGTTCAGCCCCGCCCCGCCCAGGCCTTGAGCTAGACTCCTTGGCTCCACAGTGTTTGGAGAACTTGGGTCACTTCCAGGCTAAGAGCTCCTTGGCCCTCAGCCCCTTCAGAGCTCTTTCCCTGAACATGATCATAAACAGGGACAATGCCATTGCAAACCCAGCATATGGAGCTTGACAGACAGCAGCACTTCTAGAATTCTTGCAGAAGGGGCCTGGGCCATGAATAGGAGGGAGAGCAAGCCTGGAAACTTGCTTAAAGCTAAGTTATTGATGAATAATAGTAACAACATTTTCTGAACATGCTTTAATCTCCACTCTGTAGAAAGTTAAGAAATTCATTGCACAACTCCAAGAACGGGAATTTCCAAGGAGGGGGTCTGAGTGGTGGTGGAGATTGTCAAGGCCACAAAGCCCTCCCTGCCCCCGCACCCCCCACCCCAGGCCTTCCCTCTGTGAGGAGAACCACCCAGAGTCCCCGTGTCAGGGCTCAGACACCACTCATTTGCTTACTCATTCAATGAACAGTTACTCAGAATAACAGCTCCCTCGTATTTAGGTCATTCCGTAAGCAGGGACTGTGCTAAATGCATGATTTGAATGATTTCATGTAGTCTTCACCCTAAGGTAGATACTGACAATACCACTGCCCATATTTTACTGAGAACCCTTCATGATGAGAACCCTTGGGCTCCTGGCAGTCAGAAGTGGGTCTCAAGCCCGAGGTGTTTGCCTCTGTCTGAGTCCTGGGCTCTTGCCTGTCCCAGAACGTGTGAGAAGCTGGCATAATGGACATTCGAGGGATGTGGGCCTTGGCACAGACTAAGCCCTGCAGACCCTCTTGTTACCAGCTGGGCACCTAGGCAAGTCAGCACGTCACTCTGTACCCCTGTTCCTCATTTATATAATGGGACAGCACTAACCCGACCGTGGTGGCTCATGGTGACAAGAGTTTTATTCTGCTCAGGAGGGTTTCCATTTCTTTTGTTTTGGCTTCTCGAAGGGAGAACTTCTGGTGGGCTGCCAATCACTGTGCTTCACTCCCTGTTGGGTACTGGCTTCTGACACAAAATGGCCAGTCAGAGAGTTCACTTCTCTGCTGAGTTAGTGAGAGTGTTGGTTTTCCCCATTGTGGTTGCTACGTTAAGAGGATGTGCCTGTTGCTGAAAGCTAGCTGGTGCTCTGGGCGAGGAGAGGGGCCTGCTTGCAAAATGAAGCTAGGTAGAGAGAGGCAGAGACGAGAGGCAAAGAACCCTGATTTCTCTGAGTATCTGGATCCAGCCATTCCTGAAGGCACACTTCTAGACTTTCCTTTAATTGGTCCAATGCATTCACTTCCCGCTTAAACTTGTTTGAGTTTTGTTTCTGTGGCATCTAGAGGAACACACTACTTCCTAGGATAGTTGTAAAAATCAAGTGAAATAATATATGTAAAGCTCAGTGACTGGCAGGTGGTAAGTGTTCAGCACTTGTTAGCTCATGTCATAATGAGTACTCTGAGCCAGGCCCTGTGTGGGTATCTGGTGAATCAGAGGTGAATGAGACTTTCAGGAACTCCAACTAGACAGACTTTCAGGAACTCCAACTAGACAGATAAGTCCATAGACAAGTAGAAAACAACAATGACCTTCAATGTGGTACCAGGTCTGGAGAGGACCAGCCTGCCATCTGGTGGCAGCTTGGTTGCATTGGCTTCCTTTCCTGGTGGAGGCAGCATACATTTGTCCTCCCTGGAGCAAACATTTTTTTTTTTTTTTCCTGACTATGGATTTGCATTCTCTGCCCCGTAGTGCAACCTCATTGGTGGATTTATAAGACACTGAGTGTCTTATTCCCCATCATAGTAGTCCAAATAGCATAATGGCTGACCAGAGACTTCATTTCTCAGCCAAAGAAGTAAATAAATTGGCAGGTGAGCATGCGATTTACTGGTCTTGCCACATACTCTTATCACCAGACTCATTTGTCTTTTGGGGTCGGTGACATGGTCTATCATGAATTGGAAGTGTTGGCCAAAACTTGCCTTATGCTCTGAATCAGAAACCAGTGCAAGGTGATGTTTCTCTTTTCCAGAACCCATGAATCAGGGGATCTTGGGCTGCAGAGCTTACAAAATGCGTGCTCCCCTCCCTGAGACTTTTGGTTCTGCTAATTCAGAGTCAGTGTGTAAAGGAAGAATGTTCCCACCAGGGCACACCCCAGAGGTCCCGCTGGTATGGAAACTGAGAGAGACATCTGGCCATTGCAGGCTCATCGTGCCCTGGACCCACAGAGGAAAAGGGGTGGGGTGGTCCGCTATTGGCTGGAGTGTGCGACTCTGGTTTGCAAGGGGGAAGTAAAATGCACAATGGGAATGGGGAGAAGCGTGTCTCTGGATCCCATGAAACCTTCTGGGCTACTTTCTAATTCCACGGCAATCCAGTGTGAGCAGGACAACCAAGGGTTCAGCTTCCTCCTGAGTGGAGCTCAGGTGATCCCACTGGGTTGAGGCCCTGGCCACATGAGGTTCTTTCTAAAGACAAAGGGAAAACGAAAAGGCTAGTTGAGGAAAGCTCCTATAGATGCCTCATGACCTGTGGCAGAAATGAGAATGCTAGCCCTTATCTTGCTACATCATGCGTGTATACATTGACGGTGCTAACTGTGCCTCTCTCTTCCTCTCCCACTCGTATAGGGTGGTCCGTTGCTGGCAAACGTTATGATTTGAG